CATACAAAAAATGGACCGAAGCTTTTTTACTATTGTTAACCTCTCTATATTTCGAGTTTTACGTTCGGTATCGCTGTTAGGCATTCCGTCAAACGTACGGCTAGCTCCTGCCAGTACGAACAAAACGAGGTGCCTGTGCTCAGGTTCAAAACCTGGACCGTGCCCCTAAGATTAGACAAATACGTGATTCACTGAGCTTTCACGGAGACTTACCACTATAAATCTCTAGATATCATACATTTAGCTATGGATCCATTTCCTAAGACATAAAGGAATGTCAGCTCTTTAATTCTGCGTCGAAAGGTCCTAGATAAGGTTTAGATTAAACGTGTTCAAAAACTCATCGAAATCACTTAAAAGGTATTCCTGATACACGTAAGGTTTTGATACAGGGATCGAGAAAAATATCAACTGCCAATCGGGACACTTGGACAAAGTCTCACGGCTAACTTCTTAATTTTCAAACTTTCGGCTATTTTGAACCGTTGCAATTTTGCGATTTTTGCTTAAAATCAATCGATACATGGTTATGATTGAAAAGTTATTTGGAAAATGAAAAGGGATTTTTTGTTTCAAAATGAAGATTTAAGGGTTTAGCCCTCGAATTGAAACTGTAATCAAGTTAACGGTGGTCATGTCAAACAAATATTATTGTCAGGCATAAAACTTCTAGGACATGCAAAAAAATTAATTAAAAAATATCTTTTTTTTTTTTTATCTACATACAGTTTTTTCCCAATACAATTCATGAAAATATTAATAATTTAAAGGAACCATTACGACAACCACCTTGGATTACTTAAGGACTGCTGATTTGTTCAACGAACACCCATAATAATCTGACTATCATGAAATAAATCAAATATGAAGAAAATTATAGCACCTTAATTATATTTATGTCGACTTTCGTAAGCTTGTCAGCCAGCGAGATCCCCTTCACTAACCTGTCGTTATTTAGTGTTAACATCTATTCATAGCAGGCATGGTAGACAATCTTGGAAGGAAATGGGCAGAGTACTGTTTTATGCCCAGATTTAACTCGTAAAGCAATTTATAACCGGGATTAGTCTACTTTCTACTTACATATAATGCAGGTAAATATGAAAAACTCTATAAATTATTTTAAATAAAGCCAAATGGTCTACTATTAGGCCAATAGCAACATTTTCGTCGTTAAATTTCAATTAGTCTTCTACTATAAAATTGAATTTCCAGTCGATATTATCAAGTAAGCTCTATATATTCTGCGATTTTTTTTAATGTCACTTGACTTGCTGGAAGTTCATTCAACCAAAATTAGGTTGGAAAAATAACTGCAGCAAAGCTCTATATTTGGACGTTAATGAACTGGAGTGGTCAAGCACGAAACAAGTATCGTGTACACATGCTTGTTCGTCCATTGAGTGTAACGTCCTGAGCAATACTTAGACTTAATTTGAGCGGATTTAACAATATTCTCCTTTAGGAACACAAAAAATCAGAAAACAAACATGAGATCGCTTGGGTGCGCTACGCCTGGGTCTTGCTACATGCGTATTGCACGATTGGGTACCCACAGCATTTCAGATAGGTTCACGCTCTGCCGAATTTCTTTCGTTACTACCAGAATAAGGCCAGCAGCATCGTCGAATTTGGCTTCGTCTTGTAAGTTGGCTTGTTCTGAACTTGCTGTCCTTTAGACACGGAATTTTGTTAACGGTTTCGAAATTAAAGAAGGCTCAAAAGACGCGGACAGTCAGGTTACAAATAGCGTTTATGATCATAGAAGAAAACCGCTAAGAGAGCAGCTTTTATGCCTTTTGTTTGCGGCTAATGAATTGTGCTCACACCATAGAATAGTCTCTTTGGTTCTACCTATTAGCAATTGTAAAGCTGACCGCAGATCATGACCTTCAAGAAAACAGAATAAAAGTTGCACCGGGTCCGTGCACTTACTTGTGACTCGACAACCTATGTACACTTGTTACAAATATAAATTTCAACAATGTCGATTGATTCCATCGAAACGGCCATCGGAATAAACTCGAACTTCTAAATTTCGATGCTTACGCCCGGATAGGTGCGCGCATATTTACTTGTGCATGAGTTTACAATGAGAACCGACAATGTCAGTTGAATTATTCCGATTGCCACATGTACGCATAAGGACACGGCTCTACGTATCGACTAAAGGTTCCTTAAAGTTATCCGGGCTAGTTATTTTATCAAAGCTGTCATTCAATATAATCTTAATACTCAAGTACATGCAAGAAAAGCAAATAACGTGCTTCAATTTTAATGTTATTATTTTCGGTACAGCGTTAGTATTGAGTAGATGCTACCACTCGTCATTCTGCCCTTCGCCGTTCGATTTACAATCACTTTGAATTCAAAAGCGCAGACTTGCCCCTCTGCGATGCTGTCTATGCAGTAACAACCAACATTTTTTTTAAACATTAGCTTTTTACGACAGGGTTCTTTTTTGTCTGACCAAGCCTAGCCACAACAAATAATAAAAACAATTAGCTCAATCTTGTATCGAGCATGCATACATCGATATGTATATATATATATATATATATGTGTATGTGTGTATGTCATTGAAAACTAACAATGTAGGTGGGTGGGGGAACTTTTTCCACGTTCAACTTAGATGTGTGGATGTAACCGTCAAGAACTCAGAACTATCAGAATAAAGGCATCCCATGAAAACCAAATGTGAAGACCAGCTCTTGGAGTTAACTTTTTATACAAACGCTGAAGTTGTTCGAAGCCCGTATCCTTCCTAAATTTTTAATGGGTGTCAGATCCAACGCTGTTGTTTGCGTTGGCAGTCAAACGAACATAGTCAGAAATTATTGCCAGACGAGCTGTAGAAGCAAATCTGAATAAAGGTCTTTACACCATGAGATTTCAGATCCACAAAATTTTAGGCGTCCGAATACCTAATTTCTGTCTTGAAATTTGAAAATATACTTATTACCACGAAAAGTACTGTTCCCAATGTACACACAGGAATACAGGAGTCAGGCGACACTGCTGTGGGGCAATAAAAGGCAGTTTACCTCGGGTTTATAGAAAGTCGAAAGGGAAGATGTTAACCAAAAAAGAATCGAGGCATTGTCCCCTCTCGGTTAATGCTGTTCGATTTTCCTAACCGTACTCGTTATCGACTTCATGAAGAACAGCATGAATAGCGCATGATCCGTGATCTATTTGGCAATCAAGGGTCAACGGCCTGCGATAACTAAGCTAGCAGCCTCCCCATCCATTTCAGTTAATCCCGATGTCAATATAAAGGTCGCAGTTTATTTAATATGAAAACGTCCCGCCGTGAAATCCTGGGTCAATTTTATGGCGATATCCGTACATTACAGAGGTTGATGGTCGCTCAACACGACACTATATTGTATTATAATATATAGGAAGGAACATTCCTCTATGTGAGCTGCGAAGAAAGAAAATAGGTACCTAAAAAGTGAGATCATTACAAGTACTTTTATTACTTTGGTTCTTACTTATTTTGACTGCCTTTGCTTGACGTGGGTCGTTGAATTTGCTTTGCTCGAGGTGAGCGAAAGCCCGAAGTCTTTCTTTTGGACACCTGCTGACCCATAAAGTGTCTATCTCATATCGACAGCGATGTCTGCCCTTGATATGATTCGAAGCTACGGCTTGCTCTCTTTAATCAGGTCAGGGTTAGAGCACCAGGACTGGAAGGTGGAGGCCTCTATACGTGCCTATAGGGGAGCTTGTGTCCGTAGTCGTTTCCTGCGGCTAATTAGATGGTTCCTACCGTATTACTACTATGGAGTGTGCTGTGCTGCCAGTGGACGCGCCTAGGTTGTGCCTACATTGTGGTCAGCCAATGTAAAAAATTTCCTTTCATTGGTTGTCCTCCCGAATATGATCGCCGACCATTAGGCACTATTTTTCGCTCGTCCGAATTCCCTTAGTGTGGCTGTTCGCTAATGTCACCTCGTGACGTTGCCATAAGTCCTAGCGATTGAACGTTTGGCTTATCTGTCAAAGACTACCACTGCATTCAGGCCGAGTCGTTCGATATGGGTTAGGATGGAAGATTCCTACCTTCCGTGCTAACCGGACAGCGTCTGTTGAGTTACCCAAACGGACTTGAATTCAAATCTTCTTTGACACCTTATTTCCTTTGGCTTAACATAAATGAACAGAAATTCGTCTTCGCTGATAATTTGTGGGACCTGCTTAGGCTTCGGCTAAACTGTCAATTTGAAGACTGAATCAGCTTTCATCGACTCGCTGTAGGCTTTTATCACACTTTTATGTAAATAAAGATCTACAGCGGACACAATATATGAACGCGACCTGTGCAGTGTACGCAGATCTGACGTTGTCTTCTGATTATTAGATCGGAATGCCTTCCATCTTTTGGTATCAAAGTGCGCTTTGTTGAATCCATCGTCAGAAATTAATCAAACTGCTACGATTTCCTGCATCACATGGTTTGTTATGCTAAATCATCGATCGAAAAAACAATTTTTTTTATTTTACTCAGTAACAAGCTTAGTAGTTTTAGGGACCAAATTATAATTGTTCGCTGTTACTGTCCAGACGTTTGCTTTGGTAAGTTCCGTAATTTAAAAACATCTAAATAAACGCCTCCTTTGTCTCAGGCCATTCAGGGTACTTTTATCACTGAAAAGCACCAGAAAAGCTTGAATTGCTGTGATACGCCCACACTCTCCTAGAATCATATTCAAGGTACTCGCTTCTGCGGCAGTAGGGAAGGCATCAGGGGACAACATGCCCTTGATGCTTTATGTCCGGTGCTTAGGTCGTTAGGTATTACTTCAAATAAAGTATCGGGATATAAAGAACGCATATTTTGAACGGCTTACAAGTTTTTTCTTATCGTAAACTAGCATCTGTTTCAAAATGATTAATTGTGTTATCGAATAAAAATATCTATTCGGACAGCATAGAAACACGTGACAACGGCGTTAAATAAACACCTGTATTTCTGTTATTTCACTTTATTCAAGGTGAAGAACCCGAACCTGAAGAAGCTGTGCTAGGCCGATGCTCAGTATGTTCTGAAAAGCAGCATCTGGTCACCTGCCATCACTGTGGGAAGAAAATCTGCCCTGATTGTAAAGAGGCTCATCTTGACGTTATGCGGAGGGAGATCTTCCGCATCTGCTCCAACGTAAGTATTACAATTCTGTTCCGGTTTCAGGTCCCTCTCGTAAATTAACCACATCTGATTTTTCTTAAGTAATACGACCATTTCCTTCTTATAATGCTTGGCACATGATTGATGTCGTTGCGTCACACATCACACATGTGTCTAATACACATTAAGAGACAGTTACTCCCTGATGTAGTATTTTAGCACTTTGTATAGGAAGATTTATTGTACAATCGACCCTAATTGTTGGTAAGTATATATTGGCTGATTTTTATGTTTACACACATTTATTATAGATAAATTTAAGCAAACTTATACGTACCTATGTAGGCACGCGATAGTCGTTGATCGGCGTCGTGCGAAAGGACGTAGATTAACTGCGTGGACGGGTCGTTCAAGTGGTCGATTCTTACAAAACTTCAACATACAAAAGCAAACGTCAGGATTCAATCTTCTGTTGAGAAAAATGATTATACTTATAGAGAGACACACATATATGAGTATTCAGACACGGATGCTTACATTTGTTATTGTGAATCTGTATCAATCCACCATCCACTGACTGACTGAAGTAGGCATCCGAATATATAAGGAGCACCGCGCCAGCCTCGCATTGATTTATTTTCAAAATAATCACATTTTTATTATTTAATCACACGGTGTTTATTTATGTTGTCACGGATATATGAATTAACGATGCCTGGCTTCTTAGCCGAAGGCAGCGACGGATAATTATCTTAATAGTTTTTGTGATTGATGTTTACTCAGATGTTTCTATTCAATAATATAATAATCAGATTCGGTAACGATACTATAAAAGTAGTAACACAGAATTTTTTTGAACTTCTTCCAACCAGGAAAATTCGTAGATTATTAGCATGGAGAAAATAAAAATGCTTATTATCTTAATAGTAATAATCAATACGTTTTGGAATTTCAGCCTTCTGATTTGCTTGTGCACATTTGAATATTGGGGTAGGCTAGCTAATTTAAGGAACAATTATAATAGCAGTAAGAATACGGTCATAGTCATCCGTTGTTCTCACTAAAACGTCAACGTATAGACACGTATTATTTTCAGTTTCAGCAGCTCGCAAAATGCATATTCATATTGTTTGTATTTGACTTGCGTAACCTTGACACTTATCAACATCAGCAGCTTGTTAGATTGCTAGTGAGCATCAGTTCTCGCTAATACGTTTTTGTAGTTCGGGGGGTCACAAAGCGAGCAAGTCTCTTTGCCTCTGATCCTTCGTCACGCGAAGGACCTGCCAGTCTCTAGAGCGTCGGTCGGTGTCTACAGTTTGCCTGAAATAGACAGATCCTCGACAAAGAAAAGTCAATGCAAGGCTGATACAATAATGGTCGACTTAGCCATCATCCCGTTAAACGTCTACGTACGGCTACGGCTACGCCTACGCCTACGCCTACGCTGCAATTTTGCTATTTCTAAACAATTGCAGTTCGAGTAAGCAAGCCAAGTCGTTTCCTTTTCGTTCCTCTTCCAAGATTATAACGCCGATTCGGACGACTTAATATTCACGAATTCTTGTTGCTAGTAAGTTTGTTGCTATTACAGAAGGAATGTTGACTCGTGCACGGATGCGTATCGCGTCTGTACGTCTGGGCCCACAAGGGACAACAGCAGCTGACAAATAAACACAGACGATGCCATGAGCGATACAGCCGACGTCGTTATATCGTCAGTATCCATGAGGCGTGTTTGTGTCATTCTAACACAAACAACATCACGTTCAAGTGCGTTACCTCATGTTGTAGAGCAAATGTCGTTCGCTAGGCACGGGAAGGTAGCCATCTTGCAAACTTCTGAAAATTATCTAGCAGATAGTAATAATTCTACCTTTTCAATATCTTCTCTTAACTCCTAGCAAACGTAACACAAAAGAAGCGATTGGATCTCAAGAAAATTTCATTCCGCACCATATGTGTGCGTGCCTGCTGACAAAGTTGAAAAATTAGACTCCAGACGATCTAAGGTTAGGAAGGAAAAACGTGTTGAGGAGGAGACAGTTTTTTTCCTATCTTAGGAAACGTTTGCTGCGATAATGCAGCTGTCAGGTTTCTTCCATGACAGAGTTGGCAAATGCTCTCAATGTCTTTTTCAAAGCGTTCGAAACCACGAACGATCTGTTCTAGCTTAAATGGGATAAAAGCAGCATGTGGGCAGATATAAAGCTAAAATATACGGTTTTTTTTCTGAAACACTTTATGCTATTGAATACTGTCCATGTATACATGCGCAGCTATGGTTCTGGTGTTGACAAAAAGCATGTGCTGGCGATTTTCTCGTTTTCTTTATAGTACGACAATCAGAATTATAACGGCGGTTCAAATAAATCATGCGCTACAATGAAAACGATATCCTTATCGTCATTAGAATGTACAAATTCGTTCCGTTTGATAACTTCCACTACATCCTACATTTGTGTCACTTACCACAAGAATAGTCGCTGAGTTCTGAAGTTATGCCTAAATTTTTCCTTTCGCCTAATACATATCAGCCCTGAGAGCTTGCCACTACCGCGCTGGCGACGACCAACGGTGAGTTGAACGTCTGTACAATCAGTTACCTTACGCCTCAAATGCCGAAGAAGCAAACGAGGAATGAGAAGAACGCAAACGACCCTGTCGACGACGCTCAGTGCTTGTCGTATCATACTAAACTGGCTCCAAACCGTCATGCTGCAAACCGCCCTATTTGGTTTTACCGTTCTACCTTGCCTCGTGTACGAGATTGTGACTTTGTTACGGGGTTCGCTCCCGTGTTTACTTGCTGGAACTGGCTGCAGCGACATGGGATGTGAGCAGTGACTTCGTTGGCGTTACCGTGGTGTGTTTCGGCGGAGGTCGCTACAGTAGTTACATAGCTGCAGTTGCTGTCATTGGTACAGTTAATTAGAAGTTACGACAGTGATGGTAAACGGGGCCGGGAAGCTGGAGCTTACGGTATATACTCAGGCAAGTGGTAAGATACCGGAACGTTGTATGTCTCGGGAGTGCTGACGGCAACTGCGGCATGGCCATCGCTGCAACATACCTCGAACAACATAGGGAGATTTCTGGGGAGGAGGCGTTGCGTTTGTCCATTGGACGGTTTCGGTATCCCCATTTTTCCGCTTCCCTCAGTCGCTGTCCAAGAACCGCAGAACGTTGTCGTCCCATTAAAACCCCCATTCACGGTATTCGCCTAGACAACCATTGCGTTGGGGAACAGGCGGTACCGGCATTTCGTCTTTTTCCAACCAAAGGTCTGAGTGTAGACGACGACGGCGGCGGCGGCTATATGCCTCGTCTTTACTTCTAGCGCGACTCGTTTTTGCGCTACCGCCTTCTACTAACGTAAATAGAAGAGGGCGGTACCATATATATAGTGAGTAGTTTTGGATGAAACGAAGACCTCTCAAATGAGCCTTGTAGGCCCATTCACCACCGTCGCTCTTTGTTTCCCATGCTTCTTTTGCTGCCGTCGTCTTTGCTCGCGGTGACCATTTCGCACTTGAGAAGCAGCCTACGACAAGGATAGTACCAGCGGAAAAACGAAAAAGTCCAGTAGCGAAGAGGAAATACCACAGGGGAGTGCAAAGCAGGTGTGTGGAAGAAGGCTGAAAGCAAAAGGAATGGCACGAATCGTCGACCAGCGAGCAAGCACTTGCTGGCTTAACGAACTGGTGCGTCCAGTAATATGTACCTTTCGCACTGACTAAGGCAGTGGCTTCAGTAATCGCCGAAGGAGAAATGCCAACAGTGAAGCTGACGCTGCTGTTGCATGCTACGCAGAAGAGTAGAAAAACGTCGATTTCGAGGCTCCTAGTAGCCATGGCAGTAGCTGAGTGGGTGCGAGAATGGAATCATATGGTTGCTGGTGAAATACAAATGGATGCAAAGGATACAGAAACGGAGGAAGAATCTTAAGGTTATTGCTAAGAAAGTGAACAGCGAAAAGAAGTGGCGACGCTGCTTCTGGCCTATAGGAACCCACAAAACGATGAAGAGCCAAAGGGAGCAAAGTGGGTGCGCTGAAAGAGGGGGCATAACCGGTTGTCTCACTATCTGCGTTCGTTCCTTTATTTATAGCCTCAGTGATGTTGTTTCGTACTGTGCAGGCTGTGCCCTAGACGGCAGCAGGTACCATCACAGGCAACTGCCAGCCCAAGAGCATGGCGAACTGCCAATGAAAGTGAGGGGGACGGCGAACGAAAGCGACGATAGCGCCTGAAGGCAGCTTCTCGTGGCCGTCATAACTTCGATTTGACTCGTGAGATGTCTAAACAAACAAACTGAATTGGGTAGTTGACGCAGCGGCTCACAGTGGCATTGTGCCAATGTACTGCTGCAAGTATCCCCAATGCGGCGTGCGAAGTAGTCCCAGGCCATGTTCACACAATAGACGGTACTGGAAACGTCTTGACGTAGACGTTACTCGGTAGCACAAGACATTTTGTCTCGATATGACAATAACAAAGTAGTAAATTTCTATTGATTTATTTCATTTTAATTATTTGCCGATTGAGCTTGGCTAATCAGTAAGCGCAGGAATAAATACCTCTATGTAGATATTAAGTTCCATATGACGTAAGATTGCAGGGCCGTAATTGACAATATAATGCAATAAAGGAACAACACTATTTACTGCACTTCAAACGCTGACAATAAACGCCTTCTAAAATAGTAATAACAAGATAGCTCATGTATAGAATCAACATAAAGTAACATGCTTTTCGTGTTTCGCGTCCGGTACTTGAATCGTTAAACAATACTTCAGATAGCTGACAACCAGCATAAAACAAAATATTCCTATTCGATGATTCGAATCCAGACCATCACATAACCCAACGTATACCATGGTATTTTATATATATATATATACACATACATATACACTTTATATACCCACTGCGCTACCCTGGGAACCGAAGCATCTAACTGAAAAGAGATACGCATTGTATTTATAAAATGGTAGGCCTAGGCAGCAGGTGTTGTAGATTTCTCGAAGAGACGGTTTTGTTTAATCCCTAAGGTCTTCTTGGTTTATGATAGAAGAGCAACAAAGTATGATTCTAAATCAAGTCAATTTTTAATCGTGTATTGAAGAAATTCTTCGAGTTTTCACGTTCCGTGTTACTACCAAGTGACGCTTTGGACCGCTGGCTTCTAATGTGAAACGTAGCAAGTATATACCCCAATCTAAACCACCTTTCATATCTCAACGTTGACTAGGCAAGCAAGTTATCACCACATTATCAGTTCTTTGTGTCCTTGCACATTATAAACTCTGAAATAGGAACCGGAAAATGAATTGTAGGAGCGTCCCTTGGAGACTGCCTGTGCTGCCAGACGGCAGCTAGTAAACTACTAAGGTTTACTCTAAATAATATCATGAAAGGTGCCCGTGGCAAACCCCCATGACTAGATCAGTGTTCTTTCTAGCAGTAGAGCATAAAATGCGTACTCGGAGCATAAAATAGTACTGTTTTTAGCGATCGAAAGCTGCGGGAGATAAGATAACGGTCCGTACTGCTCAGACAATTTATGTTAGCTCAGTGTAGCTGTATATATATGTGTCTTAGGTAGTGACTGGGTACATAGGGAGGGCCGATATATTTGTACCATCGTGCAACTCCGCCATTCCCTATATATATACATTTTACACGGGTAGTTTTCAGGCGAAATATGGATACGTTGTTCATTCATTACTGTGTGTGGTGACGGATCCTACGATCGATACATTTTTACCAATGTATCATACTTTTTAGACATAACTTGTGTGCAAGGTTTTATGGATTTTCACGTTCAGTACATAAATATTTTCCCACAACTAATCTCTCTCGAAAATCCTTTTAACATCCTTTTTAAAAGATTTTTCCTGGAGAAACCATTTCCTGGTATCTTATTAGCCAGACTAAGGCTTTGCCCACGTAACAATTGTGGGAGCCTTTGAATTTTACTGATTTCGACTTGGCGGCCATCTTTGAAACTCGCTTGGTGTGGTGTTTGCCGAGGCTTCCTATAACTAGAATCTAATTTTGGTATAAAGTAAGTCGCTTGAGTAGATGACATTTTACTTGTAATCAGGCTCTCTGGAAATCGACCGGAGCAGCGGTAACCATTTCTAGAACGTACTTGATATCTTTTAACACTGGACGCTTGATTCTTTTCTGTTATTATGTCCTATTCAACCTTTTAATTTTCGTTATGTACATCACATATGTAATAAAACTAAATAGATTAATCGTTGAAAGATTCATCTTTTATAACCACTATCCGAACTCTTTTCGATTTACAGGTGCGTCGTTCCCTTACACGTCTCGAAGATACGCTCAAAGAAACAAAGAAAAACGAGGACAAGCTAATCACAAACTGCACAAACGTCCGAGAGGAGATCGCTGACGTTATTGGTAGAAGTGTCAAAGGTAACTTAAGAACATAGTGGAATAACGCGCTTCTTTAAAATACCTGTTCACTTATTCCTTATACAACTAATGTCATGAGCTGCCTGACAGTGTGGACAAAATTATTGCAGCCTACATTGGAGCAGCCTGTTTCGTCGATTGATTTATAGCATGGACGTTCCGTTATATTTTAAGGGGTTGGTTGTATCAAGCCTGTGTGGCGGATAGCGATTTTCCATATTAAACGATTTTTAAAAACGTTTGTTCCCATTAGAAATCTTCTCTGATCATACAAGGCCCACTTAGTTTTCATCTGGATCAGCCTAGACATTTGTATTCACGTAGGGTGGGGCGAAAAAATGTATGATACTAATTTTTAATAGTCTCTCACTTTGATCTACTATTTTGCATTTACTCGATCCTTGCGTTCCTGCTCAATGTAAGATAACACGTTTCTTCTTTTCAAGAAGCTTTTCGTTTTTGATTTGTTCTTGTGGAGATCTGCGAGGCACATAGTTGTTCATCCACAAGTTGATTTGGGCAATCACACGCCTTCTCAACGTCCCTCCCGAAGAGTACGATGGATATTATACAAATACTATGCAAGCAACTGAAATGGAGCGGTGTAGGGATATTATGCCTATGAACTGTAAGAGAGCAAGTCGAACAAGATTCGTGCTTTTCTATCGCATCACTGAGGGCTCTTATTTTTCTGGGGCACACAGGGGCACCGTGATGTTTAGTTATGCAGCATGCGCCATAGCCCGAGAAAGATGAATCGACTAAGCGTAAAAAATGGCTTGAGAAGATTTTTTCGGTTGACGAATATCATAGCTGGAATAATTTGTATAAAGAGAGGCACTTATCTAGGCCAGCTCCTCCCTTTGTCTCGTATAACACCAAATGAAAATTGAAAAGAGCAAAATGTAATGCATATTCTTGGGGTATGCCGGCTGGTAGAACATACATATTATATGAGTAAAATATTCAAATAATAAGAGATAATTACAGCGTAACTCGAATGTAGAATACGAATATAATAAATTAGCATATCTATATTATATAAATATATATAAAAAAAAATATATATATACAAAAATATAGCAGTACGTAATGTAGTGAAGCTGAAGATTTGCAATGTCGATGGCCACGCTAAGCGTCCTGTTTTGATGGTCTATACATATAATATAGATAAAGCGTTTTCAACTTTACACGAAATCGTACAAGGAAGAGGGAAGTAAAACCTTACAGTCACAAACTGGCCCTTCCACTAGTTCTTTTTGAAAATATAGAGAGACCAGGAAGTCCCGCGACCTTTATCATCGCTATCGGCATGCTCCAATCATAGCACACACGGCGGTGCCTTCACGTGTTGTACACTGTCAGCATTACGTCGACTCACTCACGTTACGGCCATACCGTTGTGCGGCAAATCGATCGCAATCGAACGCCTGTTCCTAATAGGAAGTCACTCAAATCCGTTTTTAGTCGTCGTAGCGTTCATTTGAGTATATTATGTAAATTCCACAGAGGAATTTATTATGCCAATGACGCAAGATGAAATAGGGTACCTTATGTTATTAACGAGTTCCCGCACAATGCTACCGCGCTACCGAGCGAACCATGTAACGAGACATTGCAAAATGACCCTTCATCTAAAAGTCATTGCTTTAAGGTATGCTCTGTATAGGTAACCTGGGACCATTGGTGTCCCTATGCATTTATTTGAATCCTTTTTGCAGCGACCGCACTGATTTACCATAGAAGCAAACAACTATGATAAAAAAAAAACAAATTTTGACAATACGTACGCCGTACGACGGCCAGTTTATCTTCTTCTTCATAGAAAATCCGCTTTAACCAGAAGAATAGGAAGTAACATTCAATAAGTCTGTCTACAACGGGATTTTATTGTTCACCCTCTTAGTGAGTAGCCCAAGACGTTTTTCATTGCTAAACGTGTGCGTAAATGATTCATCCGAGGCCGACCTCCAGACCCTTTGACAGTCATAAAAAAATGTTCTAATATCTTTGGTAATAATACATGCTTTGATCAATTCGGATGACTTTTAAGAAAAGCTCTTCAGCTTTAGTGATCACTGTTAAACGCTCTTTGTCACTAGATACTCATTTATGAGAACGAATCAGGTACATTCCAGAATTATACTACATAAGTAACGTTCCGGTTCCTTGTCGGCTTCTTACTATCCAAGCGTTTCAAAAATGATTGCTAAAACAGATTCATCCATCTACACTTTAACGGGTCTGTATTACCAGCCGTTCTGGTAGAACGGCTTTCTGCAATTTTGATTTGAAATTCGTTACTATGACGTTGGCCAAATTAGAGTGCTTCCCACCCACATTTATCCCGTTCAGTATTATGACGTGGTAGAGGCCGTTAGCAAGCGTTGAACTGGAAAGAGAGGTGAAAGGGAAATTGTTTGCGCAGACCCTGATGAATGAACGCTGCTTGCGGACAATCGACTATTCGAGGCACATTTCTGCAAACAACGAGTTCTACGACCTCAGCCTTCATTCAACTTCACAGCTTTCTATTTTTTCGGGCTCCTGAAGATGACGAAAGCTTGCGGAAGGCACTCCACTCAAGCATCAGCGCTACTTGACAGTAGTTTTGCCACTTACACGCCACGTTCCTCAATGACAGTTACCGTAGAAGTCGATTAGCATAAAACAATTCGTCTGGAGCATTCCGTCGCCTTTCTTAGGCAACTTTACCTGTTCCTTCCGTTTTTGATTAGAACTGCAAGCAAATAAGACATAACGGTTCATTCAACTACGACCCTCTTTATATTGTTATAAAGTAGCAGAGCTATCGACAGTATCTATGAATCGCCTATGAAGGCTTTAGACATGACGAGTCGATGATCACCAATTGAATTAATAATAATTTGTATTCTTTTTGAAATCGATTCGTTAGATTTAGAAAGGCTAAAAGATCGACTCAGCAGCGAGGTTGATAGTTACGAAGAAACAGAAACTGGTACTCTAGCTAAACTTTCCGAAGATCTCGAGCAGGAGTTCTCAACAATTAACGCCAACTGTGAAGTTGTTGAGAAGTACATCGATGAAGATCACGACTGGACTGATACAGAATTGGTAAGGTTTGCTCCCGTTCTTAAAATTACCTATTGAAATCTTTATTTTAATTAAAGCTATATACCATTATTATAGAATTGACACAAACGTATCATCACAATTCTTCGTGAGCTACTGGCATTCTCCGTGACTAATATAATGCTTAGAGTTTGCATCTCTAGCAGCATCATACGAGTATCTTCAAGAAATGCTTCTGAGTTTGCATCGTCAGATCTTATATTTCAGATCGTTTAGTAAACAAATTGTGTCCATATAATCAAGAAATGGTAAAGAGCCGCGGACTCCTTTAATATAAACCGTTACTTAAAGGACTCTAGTTTACTTTTGTGGGGATTGCGGCGAACCAATTGATCTTTTGCATAGTGCGTGGGTGACGTCTCGGTAATCACCCTAGCTTGTACATTATCAACTCCAAATGATTAGTACCGCGGAGATTTGTAGAGCGCAGGCGTGCGTCAATAAGGCATATATTCACAAAGTACATCTAATTGCCTCATCGTAAAGTTTATATTTGAAATATTCCTATTGATCATTAGAAAACCAATAATGAAGATAAAGCAAAGAGCACGAGATTCAACCACGGTCGAAGCGCGTGTGATTCGTCCATTGCTTTCGTTAAGGATTTCTACGTAAATTGTTTGTACTCGCTGCAAATAGACTCCTTCTGGCATGCCTCAGACTACATTTACCAAAATTCAGTTTTCCTCGTACATTCACAGCGAGGTCTGTCCCCTTGAAAATCTAAGTAACGCGGGTGTTTTTTTGAACTCACCATGGTAAATGCGCGAATTCGTTTATTTACGAGACTTCTACGAGCATTCAAATGGTAGCTGCGGATCTAATACGTTTCCAGTAAAATTATTATATTAAATAAATCTTAGTTTAGCAACAACAGGTACGGCGCTTCGGTTTTTGTGTCAGAAGTCCGGAAATGTATATGTTAGGATTTACTAGCTTCCGCATCAGTTGATACGTAGGGTCAAGTTAATCGCGTCTACCTGAAACCTGAATCATCAGTTATGAAAAAACGAGCTTAAATCGTATAAAAAAATCCCATTGATGCATGTATATAACTATATATGATGAAGCATGTATATAACATAGGAGGCGGCAAAACTTAGGCGCACTTTAAAGACAGGTAAAATTGAAAGTCACATAACCGAAACTTTGAAATTATCTAAGAAAAATAGCATAATTATATTTGTCCATTGTTTCCTTTGTCTGTAGGTGGAATACAAAGAAATTTTTATCAAAACGCTCGAATTTCTTCGAAATTTTGACGCAGACACCACCGATTATGGAAGACGAGTGCGTCTCAATATTCTCACCGACACTGAACAGGTAGTTAGATTAGAGAATTTTGGCCAAGATTTTGTAATTCTACAGATTCCTATATCATGGAGATTGTGTAATTATATATTATATTTATATAATATAATAAATTACTATATTAGTAATAGCGAATCATGACTTAATTCATATTCTGGTTGGTGGCTTCAAGGTTCACAAAATCCTAACTGGTTTACTGGAACTTAAGATTCAGCCTTCGTCAAGCGTAAACCAATCTTTCACACCAGCAGGTCAGACATTACCCAATGCCTTGATGCGTTCCCAGTCTGATCACAGGCTAGCAAGCCAGTTTAAGAAGGTCGATTCCAGATCTATGCTGGATATATCTCAAGTAAGAATAGACGAGTTATGTGTACTGCTCTCATGTTTAGTAGGTTAATCGCAGAACCTTAATACAATCGACATCGATGCTTCCTTCACACCTACCGTATGAAATTAACAAGTAGGTTGTCATACATAGACATGCGTCTAACTGTAACATACCCAGTTCAAGTGTGAGTTTGATTTTTCCCTGCCCTTCTAAGAAGTAATGATCGAACAGTTTCGGGCAGAAATGAAACACAATGCTAGATTCCATAGTACGTTATAGATAAAATTATAAGGAAATTTTATAATTTGCCACACTTGAAAGAGTAGCTTAGCATATAATTTATTTATCACAATTTGATTCAGCGGGACGGTGCAAGTGATAACGAGGAGCGAGGCCAGGGGAAAACCGATATCCTGCGTCGATATGGCCTCCTCGGCGACGATGACAGCCACGGAAGTTCGCGGCATGGCGGATACAAATCGAAGTATGTACGCGATCTACTTCAGGAGCAGGAAAGCATGATGCGGCCTCAAACGGCCACAAGGTATGGACCGCTAGCAGAATTCTACCTATTGAAGGTGGATCCAAACGAGGAACAGAATGTAATTTATAGAACCTGTACTGACTATTAGTTGAAGCCTGGTTGATGAATGCCACTGGGGTTAAAAACATACGTAAATTCCTCACATCTGACGTGGTTTTGACGCACATCAACATCGACGCCACCCCGGGAAAGGCAAAGAATGACGACACCCATTCACAAAAGGAAAGTTGCTGTATAGAGTCGAATACGTAGTTCATAGACCTAAGGGGTAGTAAGTTTCCGAATAGGACAGGCGCGGTGGAAGGGACGAAAATCAAACTCTTTTAGAGACAAGCGTAGAGGTGTCTTTTCCCTTTGATGACGTGTACTCTAGTAGACTGCTCTTAATTTTTTTCCCGTAAGTCGATAAGTCGTTATAGTATATACCCACCGAAAATTTTTTGTTGAGACATGTCGTTGTAACTAGAACGAATATGTCTTCGAACGAGCATTTAAAGTGCGCTATATATACTATAATTACGTCAGAGAAGACTATTTTGTATGTCGTCAATTCTTACATTTACAGTCGATTTGAAGAAGATAAGATCAAGGAGCCGGAACAGCTTCTGAAGGTGTTCGATGTTGATGGTGCGGCCCGGGCTCCTCTCAGCGGTATAGTAAAAATCGAAGATTCGGGAAGGTTTATGGAGCGCGTATTTGAAAGCCAGAAGAAGGCCAAGGCAAAAAGGGAAGAGAAGGAAAACCTAAAAAGGATGCAAGAGCAGCAGCAGAAATTAACACAGATAGCTCAACAGGTTAGTGATGGTATGCTACGATAGAGTTCAAATGATAGCCAGGCTCGTTAATCGCCCTTTCTCGTATATATATGGATTCGTTTCAGCGTGCGTCTCCCACTTCTTATCGCTTTTATCAATGCCTAGTGTTGATTTCGACAGCTACAACTCAACAATCCTTTAGCGAAAACTTCGAAAGGGGGTTGAAATTAGTGAAGTGGGTAAGCGGGTTGAAGTTGAGACCGTGTATCAATTTACCAAACTCCTAAATGGCTAGAAATGACAACCTCGACTGACGGCAGCTCAAACGAACCTTTTAGCCAGTGGCGGCAAGACGATAAGGTATATACCCTTCAATCGTCTTGAAACGTACACCTGTCAGCCGTAGTTTTGGCCGTTGCAGTCGGTTATGAAAAGTTGATCTCATTAAGCGTTTACTGCAGATTTTATGCTATATTCTCCCTGGCGCTTTTCCTTTTGCTGTTAGCTATAAAAATATCGTAAGTGTGCAACTAATTCTGTACCTTTGCAGCAACTGTGGACCATTTCCTCCGTTGCCATCGCCAACAAATCTAGGTCTTCACACAGCCTTTTTACTGAACTTCTTATGCGACTAACTCCTTACTGCCAGCAACAAGTAAACTACATCTTGAGGCTTTATCATGGTACGATAGACTCTTCTTTCGATAATTCCCTATTGGCGTACAGAATTCTGCCAACTTACATTTAAAATCAAACGCAAAGGAGAAAAGTCAGACTAAAATCAAATTGCATTCTACCGTATCATGTTTATCTGGTCCACTTTTCTGTATCTCTATGTACGATTCGCACGTGGTGTCAGCCGCTGACAACAACGGTGCTTAGATATCACTCTTATTGAAAACCCATATCTCGTAACGGGCCCACTCGCTGGATACGCCAAAAGACTCCTCTCTTTCCTAGCCGCAAGCAGTTATAGCACATCTATGCACCCAGTATGTACGTGTATGCGCAAAAAACATATGCAATCTGACATCTGGCTTGGGTTCATTCTGAACTTTCGTAAAATTTTTCCCAGCGTCAATATCACAGCAGTGTCAGAAGTCGACTAGATGGGAAGATTACGCAATTCTTGGTTCGTATCGCTTGTGAAGTTATTTCCCCCAGTGCACGAAGCGTTCTCTCCCAATTCTTTCTGGGGTTTGGTCTGGCCACTGGAGCGTTCAAGATGACACTATAGGTGGCCTCCTTGTGAGACTAAACAAATCGGTGCGTCATATAATGTGATGGTGAAAGATCCGATGTTAACAAGTTGTTTCCACATAGCGAGAGCGTTCACTACAAGATCAAGCTACTCTCGCCTCCAGCTAAAGCTTCCCCTTGGGGTAGAACAATCTAACAAATATTTACATTTATGCAACGCTGCCGTACAGGCGTTCTAGAGTTTCTGTTCAGTAGTATTTATGGCATGTTGTATACAATATATGGTCCAGTTTACTTGATGCGTAGGCAAATAAAGGCGAACATTCTTCTTGAGCCCTACCTCACGAGCGCTTTTTGTCATATATATATATATATATATATACAGCGTGGCTCGCCTAAAAATTTTGGAGAGCTGCTTGTTATATGGGCATATGTTTATATGCTACTCCTAAAACAACGCAAAAGCCGGCTCTTTCTGAAACAGAACAACAAATTTGTCTTGGTGAACAGCAATGCGTGGTTTTTTAGGGAATCAAGTGAAGATCAGCTATTGTCCAATCTTCTGGTCCAGCTTCCACTAAAATTAGGAACTTTATTCTCTGCCTAGAGTCGATATTATCACTAGTTACATTATTATAAGTTTTCATGAGGGTCTTTAAAAATATAAGGGAAACCTCCATGAGGCAAACCGGAAGATCCACAATAGGATTTAGATATATTTTAGCGAGTTTGCATCTGCTAGTATTGCTTAACACCCAACTACTATTATACTATCATTATATTATTTGCAGATTTTAAAACAGGCTAGTTAAACATTTAATTGGTAAAAGTTAATCCCAAGTTGAGGTTGGATAGTGGCTATATTGAATGAACATGACCTTTAGGTGTCCCGTTCCAGCACATAAAAAGCATTTCATTTAGACATCTAATCTTGTTTAGATGCAGTCTTAGAAATCAAGCGTACGAAAAAAATATACATATATATAGTCCGGATCCATTTTGGGAGGTCAAAAAACTTCAGAACTATAAAGGCTAGAACACTTTAGTATGTACTAGACATACTGAGCTCTCAATGAGCCTCCTATGTATTTCTTTTGTTCGCTTTCTTGTTTGAAAGGATCGATGGTAGGTTCCATTATACAAAAGGCCTGGAAGCATTTGAAATCACACGAATTTAAATCTGAAAAATATGGAGACTGATCCTGTTTTCCTTGATTCAGGCCATGATTGAATCGTGGTGATGAGGTCGTGCATTGTTGTTGAAGAGCCACGTTGTCTGCTATTGATTGCCGTACCGCAAAATCATGGAATTCTTCAGGAGTTTGAAATATCTGGCAACATTGATCGATTCCCTCACTTGCAATATCTCGTGATCGCAAATGCGCGTGACGTCCATTGCAAATATCAGTATCAACTTAAATCCAGATTTATTTGGCATTTCAACCTGAATAGTTTTCTCTTCTAAAGGACCTTCCTCTATCGTTTTACCACGGTTATCATATCATTTTGTATATCTCCTATATCTTTATTTTTCGTAATACATGCCGAGAAATGTGCATTATCTGTGCTATATTTTTTCCGTGATAACAGCAACTCGTTCTTTCGTTTAGGTCCTGAAATCTAATCGCCTTCTTATAAATTTCAACTTGTTTACTTCCCTTAAAATGATTGTGCCAGCAATGAGCCGTGGTTTCGTTATTTATTAATCGTTGGTATATTCCACTGGCGCTCTTGTTTTATAAAAAAAAAACAAAATCTTAATCATAGAGCAGCACTAAACGATATCCTTGTCTTCGGACACATTATTCTCTGATAAAACTCAACCAACTTGTAATCGTGGATAGCTAAACTGTGGGTGTAAATACTCGCCAAATATTAACAAACTTTATTGATAGTGAGTAGTTCTTAAGTTACTCGAGTTTTTCGATCCGTAAACACAAATATATATGAACTTCATAAACTTGCATATTATGTACTTATTTTCAACTAGTTTAGCAGTTATTAATACTGATAGGTTAACAGGGTTATTACTCAAATGGTTTGTCTACATTGATATAAAATACAAATACGTATGCGTGAGTCAGTATGATATTTTTTCTTTCCGATCAAAGACTGCGCATTTGATAAATATCCAGTGCAAGACTAACGGAATCTTAGTGACCATTATACTGCAGAATGCGACAGTGAGCAAGTATTCCATGCGCTTTCAGTGGTCCTTAAGCTGATATTATTTATCCGACTAGCCAGTTTCTTTGGCCCATTGTTGTCGTCACGACTCTGGTGCGTCACGTATATTCGACGTGGTCCCGAGTCAACAGTAGTATTCAGTGGTCTTCGAAAGGACGATGACTGGATACGGGAATAGTTATTAGACCGTCTCTCTGCTGTTGAATCAGGAGAAGGCGTAGCTTGCTTGCGGTATTATTTACAAGACTGGTGAACCAATGCTTGGTAGATCGGTAGCCTAGAGGCTTTGCCAGCAATTCACTTCCTTCATCGGTGTGCTAATCGTCCGAAGGCAGTTGAAACCGTAGAAGCGCTTGTTTGATAGTGAAACTCAATAGTTTTGACTCATCGCGTCCGAAACCGCTGCCCCCCACAATGTTCCGGTTGGGCTGACGACGCTGGCGGAGGCGGCAACAGACGGTGGCGACGGCAGTGAATGAGATCGAGGCAAATAAGGACGGCGAACTGTTTAATGCTGGGGTATACAGGGTCTGGAATTGACTATATTCCTAGTGAGACGCAGCGTGTTGTTAGTTGTGCGTTCCCGTTGGTGCTAGCGTGTACTTTATATCTTGTTCCGACGGATTGCGGACTTAGATTCCACGGCGCGAAACAACGAAGAAGAGGAAGCTCTTACAATGGCATCGCAATGTCTTCCTTTCCATGTCGAGGCCTTGTGCGGCGTAGAGATGAGAGGAAGAACGAAGTTTACCTCTGTCAACAACTCCATACATTCCTGCCGCCCATCCCCAACGAATTCGGTCACCGTTGGCTTGTCTTGCAAGGCCAGCATTGCAAACATAGATGCGGAACTGCGTCACTCGCGAAGCGCAAGCACGGCTGGAAGGACGACGATAAAGCAGCAAAAGCGAGTCAACAGCAAACTCTGTGGGAATAATAAAGATATAGAAAGAGACGAAGCTATCGGGGGGGGGGGGGGGGCGGAGGCTCCACAAATGTTAATAGTTCTCAGTCGCAACTACAGTTCCTCGTTGCCCTTGTGTTGCTCTGTCGGTTAAATAGCAATGGTTTGGCGTCAGCAGTACAGTACCGCGGACGTGGTAGAAGCTGTTCACGCTTCTGTTATCGCCGCCCCCGCTTCTTGCTGTTGCAAAAGGAAACACAATGAGATTGTCGCCGATCAGTAGCAACAACAATGAAACAACAATAGTGCAACTCACAGCAACAACAACAACAACAACAATAATTACAATAGCATCAACAAGCAGATTATTATACGATCTAATCTAATACAAAAACTGCTGCGCCAGCAAAAATAGAAGTAGCGCATAGCAGAGAAGCGAACAAAAAGGTTGTAACGATCCCGTTGCGGCAGTGGGCATGTGCTAGCAGTAATATTTATAATGGGAACTTCGTTCGCTGACCCCGTTGTCGCTCGTATTTCGTATACTTGCCGTGTGTGATTCACACTACGTAGCGGTGACTACGCGTTAGGTCTGCGGTGGAAGCAGCTGCTCTAACTGCAGTACGAGTGTTATATTAGACGAAATGAGGAGGTAACAGTGGAAGTAATCATGGTAGCAGCGGAAAGCGAAGTTGTCGTAGTAAGATTATGGTTGCCAGGGCGGTTCGCGCATAGAAACGTTGCTGCGGACGGCTTTGTGAATCTGGTAGACATCTTTGTATGGTTTGTCCTAGTGCATTGTACAAGCAAGTTCAAAACGTTCCTTCAGGATAGCAGGAACGTAACTTTCTACGAGCGATAACAGCAGCAGAATGCGAGAAGTTGCCAGAAGGATGAAGGGCAAATGAAGGGGGATTCGCGTCTTCTGCGACCCAGCATAGGAGAAAAGAAAGGCAGACACGATACAGTCCGAAGTGCTTATAGGAAGGCAAGTTGCAAAGGAACTGTAGCAGTTGTGTACAGGTGTTATCTCTAAATGCCATCAGTTGTTAAGAAGTCGATGAATCAGGTGATGATCATAGTGCTAGACTTATGGATGGAAACGTAAATGTGTATTTGATTAGGTAACAGTTGTACGAACGTAACGAAGAAGGCTAATGCCAACTGAAACAAGTGGTTTAGTACTTTGATTTAGGCAGTTTGTTTGTATGCCGAAATGGTCAAAAAAACCAAAAAAAAACATCGCTGCTTCTACAGAATATAACATTATATTCTATTATTATAATATAACATTAGAAGACGGGTGCAGTCTCGACTTTAACAGCCTTGAAAAACTGCAGTCCATGTGTATATCTTAAAGCTGTTCACGTATCAATACTATTAAAGCTGTAACAGAATACACAAGTTATAATACCACGTTAGCAGCTAGTGGTGACCAGGCGTTTAAAGCTATCCTAAGCCATTTGTTATTCAAGAATTAGGGTTAAAGTTCGATACACATAGGAACGACATCAGTAGAGTTCGCTCGAGGTCAGCTTCCTTCATGCCTCTTATGCGACTCTGATGTTACAATACTTCAGTTTCGCGTTGGAAGACAGCAGGCCAAGTTTAACAGTAAATCGAATCTGGTACACATTTTTAGAAAGAACTAGCTTTAGCAATGTTTAGCCAACAGATATGGTTAGAAGCGCTCCTCCAGAGAGGGAGCACCTCCTCTAAGCAATTGAAGTAGCTATGTAACACTGAACGGTTTTCTGGAATAAACGTTATCACCTCCACTATGTAATATGTGTATGTACATCAGTACATACAATCATACTTCGTGTGCTATCTCCCAACTTGGTGACATTTCTTTGTAGAGGATGCAGCACCAAATGGCCAGTATGCGTGCCCAGCAACACACGCAACAACGAGGCGGAATCCCATCTGATCAATCGGCCGACTCAAGTTTAGCCGTGGCAGGAATGACCAATATGGGCGGTAGCGGAAACAGCACCGGGACCAACGCATCCGAGTCTGCCGCGCGAGACGAAAGACCTGATACAAGAAAAGACGGACCCGTATCGACGGTGAGTATTCGGCCGACTTCCGGTCGACATATAGGCGTATGCTAACCCGCGGCTCGATGTTTGCTATCACAATACTACAACAACCATTCACAGAAAACGTATTATTCAATATCTTCTACATAAAATTGATATTCCAGTTATGTAATTTTTTAGCTATTGAATATAGTATAACTATTAGTTATAGTGGAAAACAGAAGAATGTGGTTATTTAACTGTTTCGTAGCTTTCCACTTTTGGATAAACTACAATAAACGACAATAAACCTTGCAGAATGAAAAGTGGAAACCTTACATAAACGCAGACGTGGGTCTAAACTTTTTGGCGTTCGTGGCGTCTATGTTGTGTCTTATGTTAAAATGTTAGCTTAATTTTTAGCAGAAGCATGATTCTATATGTACATAATTTGTAACTCGCCGAACTCAAAGTTGAAACGTTGAACGGATTTTGTCAGCGATGAAAGAACTTTGTTCGTTAGAAAGAGTAGATAAGCGCTAAACGGGATAATTGATTTCTAAGTCCTCTAAGCGTATGTCTTAGCAATGCATTCTAAAATAAAAGCCTTGCCTGTATCCAAAAGCGCAATTAAATATAAACGGAATGAAAAAAGTCTCAGCATTGACGAAACTCTGGGTGACCTTTATGACGCAGTATCAAAACTTGGAAGTCAGATATATTCCCGCTGACATAGAAAGGTTTCTGCTGCCATTTTTGAGTTTTTTTTTGAGAGATTTTTGAGTAAGACCGAATGCAAAATATCGCTTACTTGGATATTACTTACTGCCGTGTTTGTACTGAAGGTACCCCAAAAAGCAGGCATTGTATTTCCCATTTCAGGTAACATCTCAGTCGGCGCATGAAGAGCCTTCAAAATACTCGACGGCGACGTTACGAACTCCTTCGCTAGACGACGATCGAGGAAGTGACTCAAGTTCCGTAAGATCCCGCCGAACATACCTCGAAGAAAGCACAACACCTTCAAGGGACTCTCCACTTTCCAGGTAGCCGTTTCCAACCAGTATTTTCACTCGCTGAAAAAAATATTTTTTTGTAAGCCTTTATGCGCTAGTTTCGTGATGGCGTTGCAGATATCACTGGAAAATAGGGATTCAAGGGTTTCAGCCACATTAATTAAATAGAATCGAGCAACAAATAATCTGAAGATGCATACCCTATTTCTTCCCCATAGGCGTTGTTACAGTTTATAAATGGACTTTTGACAAAAACCGGTGGGTTACCTAGAGTTATTGACGAAGTGCTTTTCTTTCCTACTTTGAATTATGTTGACGAGAGTTCGATTCGAAGAGAGGAGGTAAACAATCTAATTTAAAAATTAGTTTGCTCGTACTGCAATATGGTGCCACTTTTTTTTCTCTAGATTTGTTTCAATAATCGTTTGTACACACCTGTAGAAATGTTCTATGCTTTGCACTTAACACGTACATAAACACCATACATGCGTTGGAATTCTCCTCGCAAGACCTTGCAAGGAGAATTAGCGAGATAAGATTCCTTACCGCTCTATGAAGGCGTTCCACAAGGAACACAAGGACAAGAGTGCCTGCTTAGTAGAGCTCCGTGTCATAGGGGAACCATGGATATGGTAACATTGTGGCGATCACAAGGAATGCAAGGCGTTCGAAAAAGAAGGAGAGATAAAAGCAGAAAAGGCAATGGAAGTACAGACGTACATGGGGACGAAATACGTCTAGTTATTTTTGTCTAGGAAACCAAGAGAAGTGTTGGTGGCCACAGTGTCCCAGCATCAGCGGTTTTCGCCATGCGACGAGCCTAACGCTTTAAACAGCAGACAGCAGTTGGTCGCCGGTACATTAGTTGTAATCGTATTTCTTAATCAAGAATTCTCCACGTCGGTACTCGTATGGACTGGTGCAAGCACTATACATTTTTAACTGCTGTTGGCACAACGCTGCGATCGCCACCCAGCTGGGTTTTTCGGCCCCACATACCTACGCATCCCTTTTAATCCTTTGCCTGTGTTGGTTTCCCGTGCTGACAGCTGCTGCGGTAGACCGGCTGCGAAACTGTCGACAGCTAACCTTCATTCATTTGATCCGCACCAGCAGTCAAAAAGGAGCAAGAAAAGCTCGCTGAATGTCGGTCACTTTTATGCTAGTCTAGTTTTCGTCGGCATTTTAGCTTGTATTCTCTAAATGTGTAGCGGCGGCCCGGGCAGCATCTGAAGTATGTGGTGAAGGTATACCACCAATGAGGAGTGAAATGACGTAGTTAAACGTGATCCGGAGGTGGATAGTGACAAAAATTTCAAAAGGTGCTTCTTCTACGTCGGTTCTATGTCGGGACGTGGGTTAGGACAAACCAGATGCGCACACACCAGACCCACCGAATAGTCACCTAGCGCGTGCGTATTTCAATACGTGACGCAAACGAATAACAACGCTAAGCGCTAAATCTGGTAAATTATCGCTTGTATGGAACTAATGAAAAGTATGGGTGTCACCTAAAACCAATAACAACGTACATGGACTTTTTTATGCTTCCTTGAATTCTGTCCTATTCACGGAGGCGCAACTAGGGAATCACCAACGGCAGCAGCATTAACCGAAATGAGCAGCAGCGAAAGCCGATACGTCCCTTCCACCTATGCGCCTTTTCTACGGTTTAACTCTTTCTCTGTATATGACGACTAGACGAGAACCTTGTCAGCCACCTTTTCAATTATCTGCCAGGGAGAAGGGAGCAACTGCAACAATAGTACGGCTATGCGTGCAGCATGCAGACAGTAGCTGAAAGTGGGATAACCCCAAAAGGAACGACAGCTGCTGATTCTTATGTTGTTCATTAGAAGATGACAATGTTTTTGGTAATGGTAATATCGATTGCCATTGGATGTATAACGATAAACGCTTCAGCAAAGAGCTGGCAAAGGTGCGTTCGTTGAAGTTGTCACTATTTTTGCTGTTGCTCATTAGATTTTGGTTGCTTTTTTTCCATGACTCATACCGCTGTCGCGGTTTACCTTGCCTCACTCAGCCAAAATGAGTTTCTAAAAGCGTGCGAAGTCGTCTCTTAAGCTTTAAAAAAAGTCACGTTTCCTGCTGCCATTGGCCGGCCTGTCCCCCATTCCCGAAAGTGGGCCAAGGAAAGAGTCTATGGACAGAGAAATGTTGAAAAAATGAGAAAGACTGATAGCCAAACTTGGAGGAAATTTTGTAAGTACTTTTGTCCAAAATGGATTAATTGCTTTGGCGGGTTAATGAGACGAATAGCAACAAGTCGAGTTGTTTTTATACGTTAAGAGAACGTACGAAAAGAATAAGAAACATTTAGCTACAAAGTACGCTATCAACTAAGCAGTGCTTTTGCTGGATCTGCATCCTTCCGCTAAGCAAATTTTACATATTTATCTTTTTTCATGTAAGTCTCTTGACATTGTTTGATTGTTATGATGATCATGACCGTTTCACACACTTTCTCTGCGTTTTAGGGTAATCGTTGGAAGGTTACAAAAAATAATGTTCTAGTTTTCGTGCCCAATCCAATTAGAATAGTAAATGTGATTAAATCTCATATTTGTCCTCATTCTGACTATTTTGACAAATCCATAAATGAATATTAAAAAGAATAAAATTAACTTCAGTGAATTTAATTACGCTTGTAAACGTCCGCGCCTTTTGTAATAACACCCGCGCACCTATAACGAACAGTCGTTAGATATCATCACCAAAATCTTAGATTGCTTAACAGTTCTGTCGACAAATCTTTATGCTGTTATATAGCAGAATTCAGATCACGTTGGTTTCTGCGCGTAAAAATGCTTCATGGTAAACCCCTCGATCTATAGTCATAAGGTCTGCTGTAAAATAATAGGTGCACAATTAATTATCGTACACAGCCGCAATATTTTTTACTAGTTTATTTTATGAAGTTAATAGCGCATCTTGTCTTTTGGGTTGGTCCTGTTGGATTACTAACTGACACATCTCGTATTTCCCGCCAGAATGACCAGTAAACCCGACGAGGAACGCAACCCTTATCGATCGTCATCGGTCAGCGATTACCCGTCGCGAACGGCCTCTACTGCTTTGACTTCTCGTAGACAGGGCTATGGATTGCGACAGCCGTCTAGGGTGAGTATAATTGTTTAGCTTCCGGTGGATTTTAAGCTTGAATTCAAGATGGGCGTGTAACATATAGAGTCATCTTCGAACTGTTAACAACCGACATTGAATATCCTATATATTCAACGGATTTCTAAAACTGGTAAATACGACCCATGTGGGGTAGCAGTCTTCAGAATGCTCGTCAACTTCGTATCGTTAACATCATTGCGTCATAATCTCACAATGTGAGCAAAACCAAAGTAGATCTCGATAGTAACGGCTTGTCCATTTTCTATTGCTACTTAGAAAAAAGGTGTTTTTAAAAGCCCTATATAACTGGAACTTTCATTTAATCGGTCAGCCATTCAATTGTATCAAATATACGATTTATTTATTTATTTATTGAAGCGATCTAAAACAGGATCTTGGTGCAGGTTATCAATGCAATTGATTTTACGAGATAAATGAGTTCGTTGATTACTTTTAGCCACCTGTGACTAGTTTCGTTGGAAGCGCACCGTTCTTCACGGCAAATCGGTGCTATCGCTGTTTCCGCATACTACACTTTTCCCCAAATTTCCCACGACTTTCAGAGTTCTGGTATGAAAAGAAATACATTTTTTCGTAGTACGAATGTGTGGACAAATGTTGAGTGCCAAGCGTATTAATAAGCCCATACAATTAGTGAGCTTGTGATCAATACCGCTGATTGCTATCAATATACTATTTTTTTGCTCTGGACGACGTTATCGATGTCTTCTATAGAACAACATTACTCTCTAGTTATCCTATGGTTGGCAGGTCCAGGATAGCGAAAGTGACAGTGAATCTGAAGAAAGCGAAGGCCAACCACAGACAGGCCCAGTAGGTCGACGTTTCGACGAAAGTTCGTCAGTGAGCGCACTACTGAGCAGAAGCCAGGAAGTCAGGAAGAACATGTCTATAGCTGACAATGCACCGAGAGACCAGCGGCAGCGAAATCGTAAGAAAATCCGCTGATGTGACAGTTATAGCATTAATCGTCAGGTATCGCTGACGTCGATCATTCTGGCGATCCTTGTCGTGCACGGCTAACCTGCTATGTATCCATATTCATTATGTTTGCTTGTAGATACGCAGCGTATAACTCATTATTGCTACACGAAATGTTGAAATTCTCACAATTTTGTCATCAGTAACTTTTTAATCTTTTAAAATCACTTTGGTTCTTAGATTTCAAAATAACGTTCCGCGATATATGAGAATTGCCAACGTTTGAACCTTACAGAGTACTACCATGAGCCCGTTTCTAGCGGAACTAAACTACCTAAATTAAGCATTAAAAACCCAGTAGCCAAATCACTAACTGCGTAGGATCATTGTGCATGCAATCGTATCTGGCCTTTCTATAGGCTTTTCACGCATGTTTAATAATACTAATCCTATTATTTAGTGTTACATTGTTCTATGTAACTGGGGCATCTTCTTACTATTTACACGACATCGGCAAACATTGAAATTTGTCTTCCGGGGCTCCTTTTCGCACTGCTCTAGTTGCTCTTCTCGTCTTCTGTACCGAGAAGAAGCCGTTAACATTTTTCTCTCTCGGTTCTTCCCAAGCAATCACAGCGCAAGATGCTCGTGCCCATGCTTTCGCGTTAAGGTCTCGGCGGACTCTTCATTGCCATAACGTCATAGCGATCTTCTTTTCCTGATAAAGATATCCGAAATATATTTCGTTGCTGGCTTTCTTGTTATTTTCTTCTTCCCTTGCATGCTACTAGCGCTGGCGCTATTTTAGGAGATGTCGAGTACATACCTGTGAGGTTGCATTCTCATACTTCTATATATATGTACACCACTCGAGCCTTCGTCTTTTATGCGAGTCCCTATGTGTGCGGGAAATGCATTTCGCACCAGCGCAGTCGGGTTGGGTCGTGTTCGGAACAAGAGGCTTAGAGACTCCACGAAGCGTATATAACGCTTGTGGTGGGTGTAAAGTCTCTGAGGCGGGTATTTCAAAACGAAAACTGCCACGGCCCATTAAACTTCCTCAGAGGTAAGTTTTTCCCGATGCTTTCGACTTACTGTCTACAGAGCAGCGAACTCGATGCATTCGGGACCTTGGCAGTATTTGTGCGTCACCCGATACAAAATGGAGTCCTTATTATGCGTCGAATAGGGAATGCTACCTCGACGTACCACGAAGTAGCAGCACCCCGCCGCATATTCACATTATCATGGCTCTTGTTTTTTCTGAAGTCACCAACGAAGAATCAGCCTGAATAACCGAATGGCGACATCTAGTCACGCCAGAGACCTTGTGCCCTGTTATAGTTGTCATGGTTATTGTTGTGATTGCTGATCTTGCTGTCGCATCGCAGTGCAGGTCTATTGATGCCACCCCCTTTCGAACGCGTCACGTTCGTAGGAAACCCGGCAATGCGATAACACGTTTCACGACACACAATTGTGACATCCGAGTGTAAGTTTTCTCTTTATGGAGTGCATGCAGAGTGTGTCGAGTTACTACGCTTTGTTTTGGGGGTTCCACTTCTTGATATAAGTGGTCGTTAAGATGGCTTTACATTTTTTGCTGCACCCTTGGTGTCTGGCGTGCTAATGACGGTATTGCATTATTATTATACTTTTAGTTTTTACTCAGTTTGCACTCGCTTCCGTACAGCAGACATATGCATCATCTGCATTCTTTATTTACATTGCTTGCCAACCAGCGGCTTGCCTGCCTGCTTCGGCTAAACTGCTTTCTTCTTTTTCTTCTTCCTCTCTTTTTGTTCGGCAACTTTTTTCTTTCACCCTTCATGCTTGCTTAGCATACTTGTACAGCTCCCGCGATCGGCCCTCGTACGGCCGTGATACGGGTTTGGGCACTGCAACAACTAGTACCTTACGCGACTGGCAATCGGGCAATGATGGTGTTTCAGCGTCTGGTGACTACTCGAGGCGTCGGTTTTCGACGGAAATATCCGACGATCTGAGCAGTCGGCGAAGATCGCTGGCAAGGTCGAAAAGTTCAGCATATGTTCAAGACGAAGATGAAGACATAGCACGACCGTATGGCTCTCGATCGGTGAGTGCCGCCTGAATGTCATCTGCTAGCGTGCGGCTGCTATGCTCGGGATAATCGGACACACACACGCATACACCTAAACCATATATGGTTTCGTGCACGTCGCAAGTCAAGGCCACGAGCACGAACACGACTATGCCACGAGGCTCTGGAGCATGAAGACGCCGAAATCGTGGCGGCGTAACCTGGCATCTTGCACGCGTCGTATCCTCACACTGTAAATTCTGCCTGCAACTATTTTAGCCTGCATCTACTGCGACGTCTACTGACCCGCTGCACGCTATCCTAGAGCTTTGCAGTGCAACGTAATAAACGGACGGTCATCCATGTTGAAATTTGCGTGCCTGCACTATCAACTGCGTGTCCCTCAAGCTACAATATGACTGTGATAACTTTGCTGGCAGCCTTTCCAACTCTTTCCTCTTCATTCTATATCATATATTTATCCGTCTCTGTTTCATCGAATGTACTGGATTCGAGTCAATACCACGATCTGTCACTTGATTGACGGTGATGATCATGACCTGACATGAGATACGATTCAACACAACATCCGCAACCGTTGGTCTGAAGCCCGCATGCTCGCAACAACCCACACGACCGTTGTAGTGGAAACCGTAATGCAACGCACACCTTGGCACGTGCAGTGAAACTTTTTTCATTGCGCTGTCTCAGGTGACGGTGAAGGGGGGTGTGTCGTCTAATCAAAATGTCTATCCCTGTTTCTCTCTTTCTTGTTTTTCTTCTGAATTTCGTCTGCTGTTGTGGTGGCCTCTTCTTGTCTGCATCTCCCCCCTAAATCCGGTCAAACTTAAACCCCCAACTGAACTCTCCCGATTTGATCTCTTTCTGCCTCAACCATACCGCACCGTACCGTCGTCGCCTGCTGAACATCGTATCACACCACGTCATGTGCTCGATGCGGTACGGTCTCGGTTTTCGAACGCGCCTCGACGCGCCAAGACGCGCCGAAACGCTCCAAGCACGACAACCACAAGTTCCCATTCCAAAGAATTGCATTACTTGCATAATGCAACAACTGCCTCTTTACCTTCAACTCCAATACCTGCAAGTAGTGCTACTCCAACTTCTAGTAATAGAATGCCTGCGCGAGCGGGCGGTAGCGCCGTTACTTCGCGTCCGTTACGCTCAAGTCTAAAATCATCAATCAGATCCTCAGCCAAGCGATGTTCTTCTTCTCACTGTTCGGTTCCCCCGGCTGCTTCTTCTGGGATTATTTCCAAGTACAGTATGCGCGGTCGTCACTCACTTCAAGCCGGTCCGCTGCCAGCGGCTGCTCGTACGGCGGGATCAGGCGCTCCAAAAGCTCCGCTGACATCGGCCTCGTTGGTGGGAACGATAGCGACGAAGACGACCGGCCTTCAGCGTCCTCGTACAGACGACGAAGTATACGCAACCTCACCGATGAGTCCCAGAGCGGTCCCACATCAAATATCCTTCGTTCGAGGTACGCAGTACTATTCGCTCATGCAAGTGCTGAAATCGAGAAGAAAAGTGATTGTATATGTGTTATCGATATCTACAGATCATATGTTTGTTCGCGAATTTTGCACAACTAAACAGCTGCACCAGGTATGTGGCTGTCTAAGCGCGACGGCCTGACCGCTACCTCGGGTAGACATGTTTACCTCGGCCTTTTGCTCTTTAAACAATTCCATTCGAACATATAGTGTGACAGGGAGATTTCTGCGACGAAGAGGGCAATCAGACATGGGGAGTTATTATAGCAACGGGAGATATTTGTGATGCTAATACCATTTCGGTACTGGGTTGCGCTCGTTTCTTCCGTCTTGTCGTTCTTGCATTGTTCTCAAACTTCGTCCGTAGGAGCACGCACGCCTTCAAATCGTCGTTCGATCAAGACGAATCGGAAGACCCCGTTGACCGTTCTTCCTCGTGGGCCACTTACCTCCGAAGCAAGTACCGAACCGGCGGTACGGGCTCTTCATTCTCCAGTACTCAGACCGACTCAGCCTCTCGTTACACAGGTATTGTACCAACATCACGGATGTACCAACAGCAACAAAAGCCGCGGCAGCATAACGTCAGGCAGCTTGACGTATAGAACCGCAGGTTCACCAAAGGGAAGTGTATTACTATAATGGATAGTTGCAAATACGACCAGAACGATATACAGCATAATAGATAGATGGCTAAGTAAGAGAGTTGAACAACTGCCAGAAACCTAGCAATGTTTGTAGCATCCTTGTTTTGGTGGGTTATATATGAAAGGAGAGGAAATAGCACGCTTGCACGTCGCGTCTGCCACTGATGCTGCGGCCGCCGCTGATATGCCTCAGCTTGCACTAATCCTAATTCTTTAGAATATTAATAGTTGGATCTTTACAGTAGTTGCAAGTTGCCGACATGCTGGCCGTCTATCGTAAACTACAGTACCAACTGGTATGGTAGCAGTGGTACTAATAAGTAGAATTTGTCGTTGTTACGGGTGTAATGGCCTCTGTCACAAGGCTCTCGTTAGCTCCTGGTCGTCTATGTATGCCTGCTGTTTACGTGTTTGCCCATCTGCAGTTTGACCTCTGCGCGTCTCACTGTCTGTTTGCGGTACCTTGTAGGTAGCTCGATGGGTAGCGTATGAGCATGACAAAGTGACTGGATAGAGGGCCACACGTTACTAAGAAAGTAGAGAAGATGTTTAGGAAGTTGAAGGTCATCTTGACAGACGAAATGATTCGTACGGGGCTCGAAACGGTCGACGCTTGGTCGAAACGAAAGATTGAGCGTGTGCCAGCACTTTTCCACTCGCGTTTCTAATACCACCACCTCAGTTGCTCTGCTGCCGAGAGACTGTAGAACGCTAAAGACCAAGGCGGGACATTCGAGACAGCGCAGCGGCAGAGCGGAACTGAAAAAAAAAAGCCATTTCTTGCAAAAATAATAGATGAAGCAGGCCGTAGCGAGAGAAGGACCGGAACGCCGCGCGTCCTTCTTGAGTGAACGGCGGGTGGAAACGATGGATGAGGCGTTGTTTTCAGATTCCCCAGGGATTACGAAACCTTTGGCCTACTGGATTGCCGTTGTGGTAGTGCTGCTGCCGCTAGTACGATGTAGGGCGCGTAGGACGCTAATGCTGCTGACGAATTCAACGGTTCCCTACAATGACAGCAGTAGGAACCAGTACAGAGGTGCGGTTAGTTGTACCTGTATGCCTCCTGCCGATTTTCTATGTGCGTGTCACTCAACAAATGTACCTAAAATTACTTCAAAAGTAAATGTACGCTGTACTTGAAGTATGTGAAAAATACCCTATTAACAGCAATTGCAAGCAAGGTGTTACTTTACATGAAATGTTTAGGAGAGGTATTCGGCTGTACGTTTCAAAAACACGTTTCTATAATCGCGCATAGGCCTAAGAACACACAAGATCGAAGTCCATAACTAAATATAGACATACTTCGGTTCGTACTGATGGCTAGCTAGTTGCTTTTATGCTAGGCTGCAGTACGAGGCACAAAAGCTCGAAGTATCAAAAACATGTATAGGTCTCAAGTAACTTCTTTGGGAGCGTACGCGAACGCAGACTAGGCCTGCGTAAACTTCGGTTACTTCGATTTACTCACGATATATCGACAATGCTGGAAGTTTGACCGTTGGCATATACGCCTTCTACCGCTTTACCTCTTACCTAACAGTGTGATACGAGGCAGTCAGTATCATCCATTGATCAAATGCGTTAGACGTGAGGGAGGCTATCGTTTCCGGTTGGTAGGTGCCAATATCCAAGGTCGGCTACAAAAACAGACTAATTGTTTCTTGAGTACTACGTTGAGTGACTCGGCCATCCTCAGCGTCAGGTGTACTATGATTGAATCGGCCTTGAGAATTAAGATCTTCTGCATGACTGTTTCGGTGTACCATATCTTAATACATAATATTAACGATTTTGTTTGTACCTTTAATTGTAAACACTCACAGTAAGGCTAAATTATTCTTTACCTCGTTCGTTGACAACGTTTAATGTCGCACCGTCTAAATTAGTAAAAGCCAATCTTCTTTACCCTAATACAGCAAATCTACTAAATAGATAACCGCTTATCTTAAACAATCAGATACGTGTATTTATGTGATAAATAACCGCGTGGAGGATACGTTCTGTCGAGTCATTCGAAATGTCTTTTTCATCAAACAACAACTGAGATTGTCCGGGGCATGCTTCTCGTTCTAATTTAGCTAAAACTAGTTTTATATAGAGTTACATTTTTCTGTGTCATGCTGCCAGTGCGACCATCACAAGGCACATGTGTCATACCATCTGAGATTATCCATAGCCTCACACTGAGTTGAGTGGCTCAGACACTGACTAGTAAAAATATATTGTACGCCATTGTATATTTTTAGACATTGCCTTAATGTCAATTGGCTTTTTTACATCACGTTTAAGCAGATGTTATCATACTTCATAGACTAATTCATCTAAGTTAAAACCACTTACTTACGGTTTGACAGTTACCCGCCCCCCGCCCAAATGAACTACGCTATATACATTTCACTAAACGAATCAATTGTTGTTAGTTTGGTAAAGCGAAACCGAGACAACTAATGTTGTAGATAGGTAACGTTTAGTAAAGCATTATCCAAAGGGGTTGTTCGGAAAAAAGCAAAGGTTTCATGAGAAGTCAATCATTTTTGGTGTTCGAAGGATGTTACCGTTTCACAACGCCAGGCCATCCTTAGGCAGACATTATCCTGCCGTGAGTTCCTTTGAGAGCTGAACGGTTGCGTTTTTTGACAGGTAGCAAGTAATATTGATGTAATATATTGAGGCACCCTTAGAATGTAAGTACAATTGGGTTGGGTTTTGCAACAATGACTGGAATGAATATCTTTAGAGCAAATTCATTTGCTAAGGCTGTGCAGCTATAGACAGAAAAAACTTCTGTAATTACAGTCCCGTGTTTAACTATTTGATGCTACCTTTGACATGAAGGTTAGAAGACATTAGTTTAACACGAAAACTAAAAAAAAAAACCGTTCTAATTTCGGTGGTATAAGCAATGGAACATTTTTCAGAGATTCTTTCCCTTAAAACAAATGAAATTATCTCGCTTATATGTTCAGTATGGGTGCGTTGTGATTAAAATGTAAAATAATATTTAAAAAAACGGGCCAGCATCACTTCACCGGTTATTCACAATTAGATAAAAACGTATAAAAACATACAGTATGGGATAGGAGTACTCTTCTTCGTTTTATAGCAATAATATAAATACAAAACTTTATTACAAACCCCATAGTGTTGTCATTGAGTTGGAGAAGATAGATAAAAGCAATGAGTGCCGAAAGCTCTTGCTTTGGCATTCTACAAAGTAAGGTTTTGTTTCATATTCCTTTCTGTAAACCACTATGTCCGTATATATACATATATATATATATATATATATATATATCGATTCTGTATTCACGATCATTTTGTTTCCCATAGTTGCTTTAAAGCGCAGCGAAAAATTATACTTACATACCCTAATATTGTATTTTTATAAATACAATTTTTTTTATAAAAGAGCCGGTACTATCTCGAATATCTCATTGTCAGTGGGGGACTTCTTAATGTGGGGGGGTTACATTTATAGAAAACCTTTAACGAATTACGTACAAAGAAATCCAACTGGTTTCAAAAGAACCGGATGGCAAGGGAAAAGATCCCAAACATCATCAAATAAGAATTTAAGCGCTCTCGATTTAATTAGAGAAGAGCGTATATCAGTATTATCGATACTAGCATGTAGGATTATTATCTCAAATGTCAGAGACATATGATATACAAACATTTGGGAAATCGTCGCCTTTTTTAACCCAACACAATACAAGCAAAAAACACTTTACACATGCTTCGCTAGTATGAAGATTTGAGGTAGCACCATATTTATATGTGTGTGTAGATAAATCTTGCACTTGACCCAATCATCAATAGGTCATGCAAGGGGGATATGAGAATAGGGCAAGGCTCTTCAAACAGCCTTCATTAGAATCACGCAAATTAAAAAAAAAAATGGCGTCATAGTGAATCGATCCAATCAGCCTGGCAGCTCATGATGCCTAGTTTTAGTGACCGCATTGGTCTTAGATACTGCATTCAAAATGCAAGTTCGCTGAAGTCATTTGCCACGTTGAAGGCTTTGTATTTTGTTTAACTTTCCCGAGAAGCTCTCGAACAACGTTGCTTCCGTAGACGGCAACTCTCGTAAATACTTTTAATATTTATTATTAGTTTCTGAAACAGCTTCCGTACTGTACTATGAAGGTTAACTTCAATCAACTTTTAGAAACCACACGCTACATTAAAATCTTCTATTGTATAATCTAATATAGCACATGGTTAAAAACAAGACCCACATGTGAGCTCTATTGTGAACTTTATGTATTCTATACGTATGCCGAACAGCGCACAATCCCGGTTTTTGCTTGCCTGTAAATATCATCAACATCGAGAATGCTTTATCGAGCGTCAATAAACACTAACTTACTTCGGTATCGGTCCCAATAGCTTGGTTAAAGTGCAAAACGACAAATCTGTTATACTAACAAGCAAATTACAACAGTCTTTGAAGGCAAAAAGAAAGTATTTGTCGAAACATAAATAGCTAAAATAACGCATAGAAATGCCCTCGGTCTTCACTTACAAAACCAGTGCTTTATCAGCTTTGTCTCGGCGTGGCATAGGAATTTATCTTCTACCAATTGTAGCGGCTGCTGTATGCTGCAGCTAGAGCTTTCAACATTAGTGTACAAATCTGTAGTGGACTTCTATTGCGATTGTTTTATTCTTTCGGCTGTTCACTAACGAGTACGTTGTGTGCTACGTCGCATGCGTTTTCTGTCCGGGATCAGGATCCTCCAGCTTTCAGCGATCCCGTTCATCAGGCTACGTCCTCGGTTCCTCAACGGCCAATAACTCCGAAGACGACATTTCGGATAGCGAACAAGAGAAGACAATCAATACGCGCCGCACCTATTCCCGCGGGAGCGACTCAACCGCCGTTGGCGGGGGTTACGGGTACGTAATGCTATTGGAGCAGTGCAAAGTCATGTTAAGTCGCAAGATTGTATTGCGTTGCGTTGCTAAGCGGCCGAGAACTAGACGTAAGCCATTAACCTATGGCTTACGTTTAAGAAACGGAACAATGGTCATCGAAGTCACAATACACCATTTTGCAATACGCCTAAGCCAGATTTCACAACTTGGCAGGCTACCATAATAGTTATGTGTCCTAAGTGGTTAAAATGCAGTAAACATAAACCGTAATGCGATATCACTAAAGTTTAACCGTCACCTTTCAAATATAACCTTTTTTTCCTAAAGTTAAATGTATAGGTTTAAATAAAAATGTTTTATCCAACCTTCTTTCTGAAGCATACAGAGAGCTAGATCAAATCACTCATAATCTATTTATAAAATTGCATGCGCAACGATTTCTGCTTATGCCCTGCTCAGCTTTCTATTTCCTCTGATCATTCCAGATTTAAAAAAGAATTGACCGATTTTGTAACTAAGGGTCACACGAGGCAGGCTTTAGAGTCATCAGGAGTCTGAGGTTTGGCAGTGATAGATGTGATGAAATTGCTGGGATGCCTATAGTTAGGCTTAATATAGAGCGCCTTAAAAATACATTGAGATTTTTGCAGAAATTTGCTCTATTTCACAGTTTGGTAATTCTGTCCAGGCCTATAAAAAGAAGTTGCGCTGTTTATGATCAAAATGCGTTATCAGAAAAGACGGCCCAAAGATGGCTTTGTCCTTTACGTTCTAGAAAATTCCATGTGGAAAATGTTTCTTGCCGTGGTCCACGAACTGCGGAAAAAAAATCACTTCTACAGTATGCGTCAAAGCGTAGAGGGGGCGTCAACTAAAACGGTATGGTGTGTGTGGTGGAACTGGAGAGCAATTCTGAATGAAGAACTATTGATTCTGACCCCCTGTTGTTAACAAACAGTAACATTAAATTTGGTCATTAAAAAATCGACCGTAATTAATAAACGAATTGTAAAAAAAATCACAATTTTTCAGTTAGAAGCCGTCGAAGTTTATCAGTGGTAGAATTCTGGTATTACTACAGAGATGGCAGAACATTATCGATCGAAATATTTAATAATATTTTTTAAATACCAAACTATCTGCTATGATTTTAATCTTGAGACACGTATGTCCAATTATTTATTTCGTCGTGTGTGTATACTAGGAAGTTAAGGTGTATGATATAAGCCTAACATGTTTGGATATCTGATGGTAAACTAAAATGTGTATAGGTAACGTTGATCTTTCCAGCTACAGTCCTCAAAATCATGCTCAAGCAAATGAAAGTTAATACAGCTCAACATCTGTGGCATAACTGTGGCAAGTTATGGATCTGCGGAAAGGCATAAACTGTCATACCGATAACGTTAGTTCGAAAAGCTCACAACAGGTTTTTTTAGTCGATCTGCTGTTAGCCCATCCGTGACCCGCAACTTACCCATCAAACCAATGAAGAGATATGTTCTCCAGTCATCATCTGAAACCTTAGTCAATATGTTACTCTTCTTATGTGTGATAGGTGTGCTTAACAAGGGACAAATGATTTCAAACATCCCGTGTCTATTACAGCGGTAACTTGTAGGGTCTATAAGCAAAACAGAGACAAGGGTCTACGATATCGTACCGATAACGAGGGGTTACGGATACATGGTTAATTCTGAACACTTGCGACGGTCCAGTGAAGTAAAAAAGCCGATTTAAATGGGCCCTACCCCGCAGTGCATCATGTTTGCTAAATCAGCTCCAATTTCTCAAACGTCGAGTCAACCGGTACGACATACGCGCGATCACGTTACTACGAGAAGCTTTGGTCGGGGAACGACTACCGTGTGATATAGGAGAGCATTCGAAAAATACCGACTTTCACATGTTTTATTTATTAAAATTTGACATTGAAGATCCCTTGTGTTCATCGATGAATAGGCACTTATAGCTGCCTTGTTGTTTCAGGTATTATCCCAGGCGTTACTACAGGCACCACTTTTAGTTCTCTTAGGTTGTAGATAGTGGGAGAGCAGGGAATCGTTATAATAAGAGGAAGCCAATAATGTCGAGGTTAGTACGAGTTCATTGACATTACCCTAAGAGTGTATCTGTGAAGACAGCTCCAAATAAATTATTATAGTGCGTAGATGTGACATCGCCAGTCCTTCCCAACTGTTTCTTGTGGCTAGTACACACCTTGACCCGCCTGATTTCCCAGTATTTACCAATTTTAGGACAAAGAGTATGGCATTGGTAAACGAACAAAGTTGATATGAACAATATGCAAATGGGGTTGAAATGTTTGTGAGTAGCGAGTGATTGCCTGATACAAGCCTAAGGCTACCTTTTCTTTGCCTGCTGCATTGTGCCTGTCAGCCAGCGTGCCTTCTCTTCCCAGTCTCATCGTAACGCCTCAAGTAGGCCTGTGGCGTTCAATTCGCCACCGCGAAGCAGACTGTATTTATCGAATATTCTTCTAGTTTCTTTCATTTTCCGACACGGGATCGTGGTCGCGCTCACTTGCTGACTATTCAAGATGTGCAGACAAGTTAGACAAAACGTTACATTTGACCCCTTGAAGCGGTATCGCCACTGACCGATGCTATACTGCAAAAAGTTGAGACCAAAGCGTGTTAACTTGTTGTGAGCTTGTCTTTACGGCTACCTGTAGTAGTTGTGCTCCTCACCACCAAAGTGTATGAAAGATTTTGCATGACTCTTTTACTAAGAATAGATTTCGAATGATGTAGGATATCACACGAAAGATGGATGTGAGAAGTGAACTCTTGGAGCATTGTCACATACTGACGTCTCAAACATTTTGAGATATAGTTTGACCCAGACACTAATATCTGTTTAATTTGATAAGAGTGAAAGTTCGACTATCTTTTTGTTTTAAGTATTATACTTAAAAGGCCGTTCTTTAGAATCGTCCCATCAAATATCAATGTGTAAAGTCATTATGCGTCAAGCATCATTACCTTACAGCGTGTACTTTCTTAATTTGGATAGTCAACACGGATGTGATAAAAGGTGGATCGTTGACCAACTTATCTGAATGATCCAGAAGTCTTCTCGCTCCGGCGATAAACGCGACTTAGCAATTGCCTACTTCTACGAAGACATGCCGGCTGGCTATCGGGAATGTAGTTAATGCATTAAAACAAACTCTGCAGCATGGGCCGTCTTCATATTTTGAGCAGAAAGAACTAGTAAAAGGTCGTTAAGTCGTTCACACTATACTGAAACTTCCCTAATTAAATAATGGCCTATGTGTGCTTAGAGAAAGATTTTTCATCGCTGAATGTTTACTCGATTCACCAGTAAAGGGCCGATCGTAGTAAACATACCATACGTTAACACGTTGCCGTTGAAAATTAATGTGCAGACTTTGGTCTTATTTTAATAATGAGACCACTGTTTATAGTTCTGTGTATGTTTCAAGCTCTTCGGGTCTACGGCCCACAATAATGGCCCATCGCGTATAGTAGATCAACCATATAACTGTGTACAAAACCGTGTATGACCACCTAGAATAGTATGTTGTAAAGAGAACGAATTGGGTGTCAAGGATTTTCCCGTACGTCCTCTTTTGAAGCTTCTACGTGCCTCTCATATCTAAATACTCGAGCTCGACGGGTTTAATCCACACAGATGCATTTGTAGACGGCTGACTATACTCTCTCCATTGTGCATACCAATGTGGACCAATCGAAAAGTTCATATATTTTCTAACTTAAAATAAATTGAATAAATGTTATGGTTGTAAAAGGAAAACTAAGAAGAACAGATGACGGTCAGCGAATCGAGAGGACTTTGGTAGGTGGTATCCTAGTTCTTTTCAACCATGTAAATTTCCCGATGGCCGGATCACACTGCAAGCAGAGAACAGCGTGATGCTTGTAGTCTGTTTATTTTCTCAAAAAAATCGTACGGTAATACCGAATGAAGACAACTCGCGTAAATGAAGACAACCAATGTAACGTGGCTCCGTTTTTCGGGCAGATCTCACGGATCGTGACGAAGAAACGGCTCACTTTGGCCATCGTTCCGTCTGCAACCAGCTCACCGCTTTCTTTTGCATTCTAGACCTCAGGACAAGTCACAAACATCTGTACGTTTCTATACGTGTTTCTTCCACTGCGGGCCGACTGCTACGACTATCGCCGATGTATTTTCTGGGGCCCGCTGACGTACGCCATCTGGCTCGCTTCAACTAACACGTTGTTACTGCTGGTAGATGTCGCGATTTTCTCTCTCTCTCTCTCTCTCTCTCTCTCTCTAAAAAAAATGTGGTTAAAGGTTTTCTACTTTCCTGCGAACGCGTCGTCTATGGCTTGCGTTGCTGACATGCTGTTACCACTGCTATTGCTAAGCTGTGGGAGTGCTGGGCCGGAATACTGAGTTCTTTTCTTTTTTTTTTGTCTTCTGTGCCTTCGTTGCTCGTACTTACTTTCTGGCTGTATGTGATTCCCGAGCGAGTACGAAGTGGGGCAGCGAGGCTTGTCGGTGTAATATCGTATGGAATTTTGCACCGTCTTCACCTTTCCCCGAGTATTAACTATGGCATTGGTAGTAGCGGCGGTAACAGCGCGTGGAATGTTAGCCTCGAGCGTTGCTAGCGTAAAAAGACCAAGTCAATCCCAAACCAGAAAGCAGCAGCGGCCTTTGAGGCACTACACGCAAGGACCGCATAGTTTTTATTTTGTTCAGCGCCGTTGATCGCACCAGCGGGAACGGCCTACAGAAACAGTTGGAAATGCCGCTCTCTATTTGCTGCAGTGCGACATAACGAGAGGTCTCCGGTTGTCTATGCTGTAGTTGTATAAAGATCCAGAAGAGGCCCCGCAACGCCAAATGTCTCGATTTCGAGACTTAATTTCAGCTTAGTTCCGTCCTCTTTCGCTATTTTCTTCTTCTTTAATATCCAACTCAGCGTTGCTTGCACATTGAGAATGCTCTTTCGCTTGGCGTTTTGTGAAACAGACAACCAGCAACACGGCGAAAGTGCGTGAAATGACGTCTTGACTTTCAATAGCCCGTCGGCCGTAAACATCTATATAGGAACGGGAAAAATTCAATGAATCTATTCATTCATATCCCGTTCTACAGTTAGTGCAATTATTATTATACTATTATCTTTTACTGCGTTTGTTTTTGACGAATGTCCCTTTGTTTGCTAAACTCTGTTACCAACATGTGTAAAGCATCGTCGAGTAGTTACTTACTTAGCACTGATTGTCATTTTCCTTGACCAAATAGAATTGCGATCATTTGATATCTCAAGTTTACGGCCCTTTTTTTTAAGTTACCGTTAGCTAACAATATTTTACTTTACATACATAAAAGTATCGATTTGCCTTGTTGGTTTTCATTACTATGAATATGATAAATCGGAAAGTTTCAAAACGTAGCGTATACGTAAAGTGGTCTGTGTATTTCGTTCATAAGTACATTTTCTCTAATATCGATATATATACATACGTGCATTTTCAGTAATCCCCGTAGTGCATACCTTCAAAAAGGCGAATGCAAATTGAGCATTGGTAAACGTGGGTCGGAATCGGGGAGCTTCACGTGGCCACGGTCCGTGGCAGTAGGGCCTGATGGGTCGCTTGTAGCGGCAGACTCGTCCAACCACCGCGTGCAGGTATTCGATTCAAATGGAAGGTTTCTACACGCATTTGGTAAACAAGGCAGTGGCGATGGCGAACTGGATAATCCAGCTGGATTAGCGGTCAACCGCATCGGACAGATAATTGTCTCAGATAGGTAAATGCCTTTAAGGTTTGTTCTAGAGGTAATAAATATACGATGGGATCTCTAAGTATTTAGGAAGGCAATACGCAGATGTTATACACGTAGGATTAACTAGTAATTATTGATTAATTTGTTAGCAATATTTTTCTTTTATATAATAGTTATTATTATAGTGAGAATTGTTTGCATTTTGAGCAAATGCATGGGTCAGAGGGGTGTTCTCTGTCTATTGTTTCGTTTTATAGAGCCGCAATCTAGACTAGTTTTTGACATCATTGAGATACTCGTTCTTTTATTATAACCCGACGAACTGTGAACACTTCTATAGCCGTTCTCAAAAATTCATTTCGCTGTTATCAGGTACAACAACCGAGTACAAATATTCGATTCAACTGGGCGATTTATCCGAACCTTTGGGGGCGACGGTCGAACGGACGGCAAATTTCAATGCCCGTGGGGCCTCACCACTGATAGCCTTGGATTTATCTACGTCTGCGACAAGGAGAATCACCGAGTTCAGGTTAGGCAATATGCCGACTAACAGATAGATTTTTATTTTAAACTTTGAATTTGTTTTTATTAGTTGTGTTATAATAATAAGTAAAAACTTGCTTCTGCCTCTAGCCGTATAATTTAGGAATTGTTCTTGATGGCCTATTGTGGCTATAATTGTGAACATATTGGTAATTAAATAACTTTGTAATTACTATATCAATTGATACCCGTCAATGAATTTGACGAACTCCTTTACACTAGCAGTTTTTATTCCCAGGTTTCCCAGTTTTTATTCTCAGTATTTATAAGGTAGAGCGAATTAGCTTTTGCTTTACTATGTGCTATAATTCTGTCTACCTTCTCGGAATTCTCTTAGACCAGATTTCTCTATATCATTTCCCTTCAAATATCTTAGTTTTGCAGTTAAATATTGTTTAATGAAGGACAAATGTAATTTGAGCATCGGAGCTCTATTAAAGAGCTCCGATGCTGATCGGAGCTCTATTACAGAGCTCCGATGCTGAAATCACAAGTATATTATTACTTTGTAAAATTGGCGATTGTGCTAGATGGCCTGACACCCCTGCCGTTGAGAAAGAGCACTATTGACTTGACACATAGGCGATAAATGTGTGGCGCAGATACGTGGCGTAAGTGATGCGAGTCCGTCGTCTGTGCATTGTTTCGGTCGGGAACGCGTACTTAGCTTTCCTTGTCTGGTTGCCATAAAATTAGTGCTATGGGCACGTCTTGCTGATACTAGAGAGAGATTGGATTTCTACCCGGTAGGCTGGCCTTTACTGGCAGTCAGTCATGGACCACCAACTGGCTATTCTAAGCCGCTTAGCCGAACGCTACAAGCTATACTTCAGCGTTGTACACACACCGTCCGTTCCAGGCAGCTTTGAATCGCTTGGATTTTGCCCGCCTGTGTCACACCTGGGTCTATTTCTTTAACATCACTGTTCGTCTTTGTACGGATGCCCACCCATCCACGAAGGTGTAATCTGTGGAGTCTCAAAGCCAATAAAGCTTGAGCTCATGCATATACGACTACTAGGATCATTTACAGGCATGTATATTGAAGAACAGCATCTCAATATGTAATAGTCATGTATATTTTGTCAATATTTCAGGTATTCCAGTCGGACGGTAGTTTTGTTGGTAAAATGGGTAGCGTTGGTTCTCGTCCTGGATATTTAGAGCATCCGTCCTATATTGCGGTGTCAAGCACCAATCGAGTGATTGTCAGCGATACAAATAATCACCGTGTTCAAGTGTTCGATGTCAACGGACGCTGCCAATTCACGTTCGGTGCAGAAGGTTCTGAAGAAGGATTGTTCCGCTTTCCTCGAGGGGTGGCTGTCGATGATCAAGGGTACATCGTCGTAGCTGATTCAGGCAACAATCGCATACAGGTTTTCCAGGTAAACTCTCAAACAGTCACTTTCTTGACTACTTCAATGCTTGTTACATCGTGCCACATCTACGGAGGTCTTTTTCTCTTCTATTCGTCGAAAGGGGTCTGTTGCATTCACGTTATTGACTTTCTTTCTGGAAATTTAGAATGCAACTTGCTTTTTCTAGTAAACTTAGGTATACATAATAGCTACTTGATACACCGGCAACTTGAGCCAGATATCTTGCTCGTATTCTAACAGTTGGGTCCCCTGGTTTCTCGCTATCCTTGATAGCAAAATGTCCTTGATATCATTAAAAAATATATAAATATTCTTCAAAAAGAATAAAATAATAATAATTTTGATGTCAAAAAAAAACAAAAAATAAACATTAAAAGATACGGGTTGAATAGAAGCATAAAATTTCTTAATCCACAGTCAAAGGATTTAGATTTTTCATAGAAACACTTTGTTGTCCTCTTGTCGATTTTGCAGCCTGACGGCAGCTTTATTAAAGCGTTCGGGACATGGGGTTCGGAAGGCGGCAAATTTAAAGGACTTGAGGATATCGCCGTTAATAGTAAAGGCGACATTATCGCTTGCGACCGAGAAAACCACCGCATTCAAATATTCTGATGATTCTCTTTGCATCCTGGACTGTTGATGCCAACGGTAACAACAGCGAAAGCAAATGATCGATGAACGAATAAAAAATCTGTCCAATTCCGAGGATTTTCTCAGACTCGTCATCAAGGCACTGCTGCCGTCTACCGACGGAGTATCCTCGACTAGGAATTTCCAGTTCTGGCTTTGCTGCAACATATTCTAGCTTTCTTGTCTAACTAGCAATGCAACTGTTACTATTTAAAACATTAGCACACGCAATATAGTTTAAAAGTCTCCAAAAACTTTTTCGAGGGATGTACCAGTGCGTCTCGCGCACTTAACTCATGGCAAAAGGTGTATCTCTAAATAGAATTCTCGTTCCAGCGCAAAGCAAGTAGAGAAAAAAAAATCCTGTTCTACAGGGAAAAACATGAAAAGGTAAAAAAAATATAGGATAGTCCGACAGAAAATCATTATTCATGATTATGAATTGTGATTAACTATGATGTTTACGATGTCAATGGCAATAAGATTAAGGATAATCATCATGGTTCTGACTGTAAAAGCTTGTGATAGAGATGTAATGTAACAACGAAAATGTGTGTTTTCTGCGATTTGTTGTTACCCTTATTATTACTCGTATATACTGTTATTTCTATGATATATTATTATTAAATATATTCGATGCATCGATACATATCGTAGTCGTGGCATCGAGACGGTGCTGCCGCTATCTAAGACCAAGGTTTTAGTTTTACTCTGCATTAACAACATATACCGTTCGTTATTTAATTACCTTCACAATTTCTTTACCAGCCTTTTCACGCCATCCAGCAGTTTTTCATAGGAAGAATTACCGGCACTACCAGCTAGCCACTGCGAAGGAGTGTTTGAATATGTTGCTTGTGCCACACTGTTCTTTATCTTTCGGATCGGAAGGGCTTACCATTGGAATCAATTGGGTGGTTGCTTCCTTACTCTGTACATGGAGACGAGCTTTCTCATTTTATGGCATTATTTTTACTCCGAACCACTTCCTCTACTGCCATTGTGTCGACTACGATCAGAAGCTTTATCAGCTGCACCACACGTTCCTGTACAGTCGCGCCTCAAAAAAAGGCACTTGTGTGCTTTTTCGCAGCGTAGCAAACTAACGGCGTTCGGTCGAAAGCGGAGACAAGGTTGGCTTGGCGACGCTGGTGACTAAGATACTTGAGGTGCTGCTTCTTCCACTGAACAAGCTTTTTGTCTACCCAGCCTTTCTTCCAGCATTTTCCTCGGCTTCTCTTCGCTTTGTCAGCAGGACAACTAGTCAGTCCTGAACTATTCTTGATGAAGGCGATGCACATCTATTGGCCTGCTAGTGTTGCTCTATTTAGGTCCTGCACCGTTCGAATCGAACGCCTTCCCCGAACCTTCCTTCAACTTCTAGGCATTCGTTTATTTCCCGGATACATCTTCCGATGTATTCTATAGGGCTGCGGCGAAATGGGCGCTAGTGTAGGGGTAGAAGACTGGCAGCAAAGGCGGAAAAATACTAGCAACGGCAGCAGCAACAGTCGTTGTTAACCTGGAAATGCTTGCCTCGAATCGCTGCTTGTGAACAAAAGGGTAAGATATACACTACAAACTGTGTTGAAAGTGGAACTCCTTCGCTACTAATTGAGGGTGAGACAAAACAGCGAAGGTCTGTAACTACATAATGTACAATTCTCACAGTACTGTAAAGCGGAAGCTAGCAAAGATCGGTTGGTTAGGCTTGATTTAGACGGACCGTGCGTTCGTTCTGGCACCTTTTCACGGTATTCGTGAGCACCAGGCTACCTCCAGGTTACTTGATGCTTCCTTCGTACAAGAAAGGTTCTATGGCTTTCTTTGTTCTCTTGGCTGACCTGAACCGAAATATCTAGGTTATTTCACTCATGACTACCCCAGTAGACGATCATCGAGCAGCTTAGAAAGACGGTCGAGAAGGCTATGTTATTCGTTTAATGCGACTGATCCAGCGCGACAAAGCATCGGCGGTTGAAGTCGTTTGGTGGAAATAGCGTGCCTCATAAAGGGGGCTGCGGAAGGGTCAAATGATAGGGATATTTTGCGAGAGAAAACTTAGACGTTTCTTAGAACTCGGTGTAAACCAATTACACATGGTAGTAATCATAAGTAAACATAGACGGCCTGAAGGGCAGCAATGAAGAGCGTGTATTGCCTAGCAGAGCTCTAGGCGAGCTAAAGAAAAAAGCAAAGGCTTGTTGTCGTTGCTCTTATTGGAAAAGATTGTTTCGTGTTTCGCTATACCGTTCACACGAAGCCGCTGTGCTACGCAGAGCGCACACGCATAATAGCCAACAGAAAAGCGGGCTAGGCGTCGCAAACGGCTGAATAGCGTACACTGAGTAATCTAGATTGATCAAGAAGCTGCAGGGAGGCCGAAACGGTGTTTGACAGCAAGGGCAGCCCACGACCCAAAGTGTTGGTAATGCTGCCACATTGACTGATAATGAAATGGAGAAACTGTGGATAAACGAACGGAAAGGCAGGAAGATAACCAGTACGCAGAAAAGTGTGGCAACCCATTGTTGGACTGGGGAGAATTTTCGGGGGCCGGGAGAACGGAGCATTCACTGTTGTTGTTAAGGCAGCGGAATATCTGAATTCGACTAGATATCACATGGAATAAACGTACCTAGTAAATAAAAGGAGTAGCATTATATATATTATGAGACTACCGTTGGTGAAATTGGTGGCTGTTTTGGTTGTTATTTGAAAAAAAGGTAGAAAAAGAAGATGACATTGATTATGTCATGATAAACATAATGAAAAAAAGAGAACGTTAACTATAACTAGGCGGACCAGAAGAAGGATAAAAATGTAAGTACAATTACTGTGGATATATATACACATATATGTACGAGGGTGACGCCTTTATGTTGTGAGACTTGTTTAACTACGCTATTGTAAAATGCCCCATCAGAGGTGTTGATGGGCTTTAAGGAAGAGGACAACGAACACATTATGTTGCCCATTTAGAGACAACATTGATGCCAGTCCACCCAGTTATTGTTACTGTGTATAATCAATACACACACACGTTTTATGTCGCATTTAGGTTTGGATGCTTAATAAATGACTGCTGCTTTTTACAATCCAATCCTTTTCCTGTCTACTTATAAATTTCCATTGAAGTTTGTCTACGTGATTGTTTTGCTCCACCTTTATAATCTCTCCAAAAATCCGTGATACCCTGATAATGAAAATTGACAAATGTTGAATATTTTGTTAAAAGTCATACGATTTGCGATAAAAAATCTCTATTAAAAGTTATACCTAGCAATATTATAATGATTTGTTAAGCCTGGCAATGAATGTAGAACCTACCATTCTTATTACACCTAGGTGATGCCTGGACCGGGAGCGACGTTAATGTCTTCAAACGGTTTTGTACTAGTCGTGTATTCGGATCTAAACATCTACACAAAGAAGCATTTTACGAAGATTGTTCTTACATAACGAGAGTTCTAGCATAACGGAAAAAATAGCTGCAGAAGGCCACATATGAAATTTGTGTGTATGAAAGTTGAGTACGCGCAGCTCACACGTTCCGTAGTAGCCTTTAAAGACATTTGAAAAAATAAGAAACTTTCTCTGATGATAGCTAGCTACATAGTAGACGTAGTCCTGTTTAAAATTTTGAGCAAATGGGAAATTCGCCTATGCGCGATTTTCCCACGGTGTTGGTTCATAAGCTACTCAAAGTCGATGTGTACTTGGCACTTTCGGTTTTGCTTATACAATAAGGCATTATATTTTCAGTGTACTAATATAAATTTTCTACAATCCTTTATAAGCTTCGTATATTTATATAATAAGATTTTCATAGAGTTGGGGACGTCTATTATGAAAGAGTGGACGGTAATTGCAACCGTATGTGGTAGTAGAACGAGCGTAAAATCAGATCGGCTGGCGGACCAGTATTTAGCTATGCGAACACAGCACCGTGTACTGTGTATCCGAAAATATTAATTACGAGAATTATATGCAGACAGTGAAAGGTATAGCGGTGATTGGTAGGTATAACTTACGCAGACATATGTACCAATATTACCCTCATGTTAATTAACATGTTCGTCATATCATAGGACTTTGAACACGCCGGGGTCCATCCTGCGATCCGAGAAATCGGGTTTTTGGGAGTAAGACTAAAGCCCGACGAGGTCAAATCTTTTCCAGTGCTCAGACAAATTGCTCAGACAAATGTTGATATTAAGTATGATTATACTTCACCCCGCGCAATAACTAGCAATTCGTAGAGATACTACTAATACTCGTTCTCCACACGGCCCAGTATATCAAATGCGATCTGGGCTGCTTTTTTCCGAGTGAAATTAAACAATGACACACATTTCTGCAATGGTATACTAGTATACTGACACAGTATCATACTCGGTATGTTCTCGTTTCTTCATAACGTGAGAGATGGATTTTCGGCTTGCGGCAATGTTCAATGGCGGCCAGGACACGTCAAAGCAACGACGTCATCGCATTGCTACGACTATGCGACGCTTCACTCTAGTAGACTTCCCTTTTTTTGCGGCAATGGTGCCGGTGGCCGCAGCACTGGCAGCATTAACGCAACGGCTGGCTCTACTTAGCCTCATCCAACAACGAAACGACGGCAAGACGGGCGGTAAGCAGACGAAGTTAGGGGAAAAAGGTAGCTGAGTATTCCCTTTAAGCTCGCGAAACATCGGTTAGGCGGGTTCAGTCTTTCGAAAGCGTTGCGGTTCGTCTCGGTCGAAAGGATGTTCCCTGCACGCGATAAGGCATAATAAATTACAAAGAAGTGCTGGCACTCTCTGTTTTCGGTCTTGCAGGCGTAGCAGCCGCCCCAGCAGCAGCTTCTCTTCCTGATAAAAGAGCTGCGACGAACCGATTTTTCGTCGCTGAATCTCTCACACACGAACGATCGTTGTGCCGTCCATGTGCGATATGTGTGGCTGTGAAGCGTACACGGCGCCGTCCCACATTTAGCCATTCAAGTATCTTAGGTCGCTCGACTCACTGTTTCCCCCAAGTGGTTTGCTGCCCTCGGCTCGTCGGCCTGTCACAAATATCTGTTAATGGAGGTTTAAAGCGACGAACGTATGGCAAATGAGGTTAAACGTTCATGCTTGTCGGAGCCCGACTGTGGCGCAGCAAGCAGCCGCGGGGTCATCACCTGGGCCTGACTTGGTCACGGCGTTTCAAAAGGGAGGACTTTGAGTGCGCACGGCTCAGCCGCGGGTGTCAGCCGCTGACAACGGACGATGAGAGAGAGGCAAAAGAGTACAGCTAAGGGAAAGGGGAACCGGTAGGGGATAAATTCATAGCGAAAAAGGTTTGGTCGGGTTGCCTTCATGCCGAGATGAGCAAAAGCGATCACACGCCGTACTGCAGGAAAGTACAATGCTGACATCCCTTGTCTGCTCTGACGGACTAGTAGCAGCAGTAACAACACAGAGCCAAATGTGGGAGCGTGTGGTAGTTTAAAACAACGGTTATAGGGCCACCGTTGTCAAGTGCTATTGCGACAGGGAAAACTAAACCCAGTGTAACATGGGGTCGTCCGGCTGCCGGTTGCCTTTAGAGCAGGATACATACACACACACACACACGCATAAGTGAAACAGAGGTTACACTTGCTAAGCTGGCGGTGAGCGATTCAGGCGTGTTATTGTAGGCTTTTGGCCCTTTTTGTGGTAAGAACGTGGCGAAAAGAGTCGTTTAATATTAATCCGATTTGTTTCTGGCCACTCGACCAACTTGAGGCCATTCACTCACAGTCTCCAACATCTCTAAACGAAACTATCCCTTTATATTCACGGACATAAACACAGAAAATGGGTGTAAGCTACTGAACACACCCAGGCACCGATGTATCGTCGCAAACTCAGCCAAGGACAGACTGGTCAAGCCATCACAAAGTTAGACAGACACCGCCCAGCCGCAACACGCTCCATTTCTCCAGTCGTTCCATCCTTCAAAGAACGGATGAGCGAAAGGCTCGCTCCTTGACTACAGTGCCTACTCATTCACATATCTTGTCCAACTGGCAGCCACGCATATCTTTTCCGCATGCATTTCCTCTTCAACCTGCTTTACTTGACTGTTAGAGATTTCTCCGCTCCACTCCTTTTTTCCTATCTTTTTTCTTTCGTTGGCACACTTGCTGAGGCGCTCTGTTCCGCAAAACTGACTAAACCCTTTTTTGATGGCACGCAAAACGGGGATAGGGGTACGGAAGAAACGGGGCCATGATGATGGAAACTGACAGCCTTTGAAACTCCTTTTTGTGCGTTTAGACCTCTTCCGCTCTGGATCACGCGGCAGTGGCCGTCGACCTGCGAGCAGCTTGGTCTCTCCTACTACTCTTACGCCAGCCCTCTTCCTGTCGTTTTCTGGCCTTCGTGTACAAGTGAGATGAGCCCATCCATACACAGGCCACGGATCCCGAATCACCGCTAACCTGGATGGTGATTTTGTCAAAAGGAACAAGCCACCCTTGTTACTTCCATGCCGTCCAGGAGCCAAAGCAAGCGGCCTCTCTCTTTCGCCACCAGTGCTTTCTAGCTTCCTATGGCCATTCGCACACTCAGGAGAGCAGTAACGCGAAGGGGATGTTAGAATGGGCAGGACTGTAGGGAACACTATGCTTCGTCAAGGAACGAATAGATACCAAGGCTCACGCTCCGAGTTTGCCACTACCAAGTTCAATCATGCGGACGGACAAGCAGGCGCAGACGGTGCTGGCACAATTCTCTGCTCATCGCCTTCATCGTGTAAAGGCCACCGCCTTTGGCTAAGTTTAGCTTGCCTGAAGCTGCTTCTCGTCGTGAGCTGAACCTGGTTTGAGAACGCAAAAACTAGTTAAAAGCCCCCTAAATTCTTTACAAACACCCTTTTGTTCGATATCTGTGACTGTTGCCACACGCACTTAACCACAGCTTGGTCGACTTCTATCCACACCGCAAATATGCGCAGCCGCTCTAGCTCGAACGCTATATTTTATCCTCTTTACTGTGACTTTTTTTTTACTTTCTTCGTCCTCTTCTTAAGTTTGCATCGGACTCTTTTTTTCTATACAGGACGGAAGCTTTTGCTACTCCTGGTGACGCTGTTATGCCGAAATCCTGGCTATTCCCTTTCCTCTGTCTGTTTGGTAGGCACTTTTTTATTCGTGTTTTATCAAGAGACAGAGCATTTCGAGGGGCTAGTAAGGGCAAATATCCCCTCTGCCCAGGGGCTGCTTCACAATGGCTTCGTCTATTCTGTATTCGCATCTGCCTCACGACCACAGTATACACAAACAGCGCTCTCGTGTGCATCACTTCGCCGGCGCGTGTTTGGGTGCGCCGACTGTCTTCCTTTAACCACTCCCGTCGACTCTCGCACTGCCGCTACCGGTCGCCTCTGCTCGTGGCTCTTTTTTCGTTGCTCGTTTTCTACCCGAGCAGCTGCGTGCCTTCTTCGTTACCGTCGCCACCACGACCCCACCACTGGCAGCAGCAGCTGCTGCACCCTAGATCTTTCATTCAGCCTTTTTACCTAACGTTTACCCCGTACCCCATATTCCCGTTCACTTCGTTCGCTCGTAAAGTGTCGAAAACGTAGGTTTGGAGGTCTGCTGATGCCCGTGCATGCGACTGCTGTCCCTGCATCAGCCGCCCTCGAAACGCGCTTTTTTCTGGAAAGCAGTCGTTCAACCAAGCGAGCAAGCAGTGATGTTCCGTTTCGTAGCGCATCGTCTGACGGTACTCACATACGTTCTCTTCCAGCACAGGTTTTTTTCTGCTTTGTTCTGTCTGTCTCTTGGACGTTAGTTGACACCTCAGCGATCGCAATGCGACGCCGACTGCAGCCGCTACTGCCGTTATTGCTCCTGCACGGCTTCTTGTCCTAACGAGTGTTCTCCTAACATTTCTCCTTGCTCTTTCCTTGTCTGTACCTTTGCCTTTTTCTAATTTTAACAAATGAAACAGCGTACTATGCTATGTCTTCACTGGCGCCAATAGAGAGTATACATATCTATCTATTCAACAGCAAAAATGAAGGTATTAGGAGTCACGTCAAGCGACACAAGCAAGCGTTCCTAGCTACCCATG